GTTTTTGGAAATATAAATTGAAGATGTTTCCGCGGTCCGTTATTCGTGTTTGAGTCGGTTATAAAAATTGAAGATGTTTCCACGGTTCGTCATCCGTGTTTGAGTGGGTTTTAATTTTATGTTTTGGTTTTAATCTATATCTCTTATCTATCTCTATCTCTACTATTATAAAAATTAAAGATGTTTTTGCCGGTATTTTGGTACGTCATCCGTGTATGAGTCGGTTTTTAAGTTCGTTTGCTTTTGGAAATATAAATTGAAGATGTTTCCGCGGTCCGTCATCCGTGTTTGAGTCGGTTATAAAAATTGAAGATGTTTCCACGGTTCGTCATCCGTGTTTGAGTCGGTTTTAATTTTATGTTTTGGTTTTAATCTATATCTCTTCTCTACTATTATAAAAATTGAAGATGTTTTTGCCGGTATTTTGGTACGTCATCCGTGTATGAGTCGGTTTTTAAGTTCGTCTGTTTTTGGAAATATAAATTGAAGATGTTTCCGCGGTCCGTTATTCGTGTTTGAGTCGGTTATAAAAATTGAAGATGTTTCCACGGTTCGTCATCCGTGTTTGAGTGGGTTTAATTTTATGTTTTGGTTTTAATCTATATCTCTTATCTATCTCTATCTCTACTATTATAAAAATTAAAGATGTTTTTGCCGGTATTTTGGTACGTCATCCGTGTATGAGTCGGTTTTTAAGTTCGTTTGTTTTTGGAAATATAAATTGAAGATGTTTCCGCGGTCCGTCATCCGTGTTTGAGTCGGTTATAAAAATTGAAGATGTTTCCGCGGTTCGTCATCCGTGTTTGAGTCGGTTTTAATTTTATGTTTTGGTTTTAATCTATATCTCTTCTCTACTATTATAAAAATTGAAGATGTTTTTGCCAGTATTTTGGTACGTCATCCGTGTATGAGTCGATTTTTAAGTTCGTTTGCTTTTGGAAATATAAATTGAAGATGTTTTCGCGGTCCGTTATCCGTGTTTGAGTCGGTTATAAAAATTGAAAATGTTTCCGTGGTTCGTCATCCGTGTTTGAGTCGGTTTTAATTTTATGTTTTGGTTTTAATCTATATTTCTTCTCTATCTCTATCTCTACTATTATAAAAATTGAAGATGTTTTTGCTGGTATTTTGGTACATCATCCGTGTATGAGTCAGTTTTTAAGTTCGTTTGCTTTTGGCAATACATAGCCATATTTGAGTTGGTTTTTAATATCGTTCGCTTTTGATAATACAGAAGGAATTATATAAGAAATCTGTTTTAAAAAAACTCGTATGCTAACTTGAGATGATCGGACTCCTAACTGCAACTCATGATTTTCTAAAAGTATATATCCAAGCGAACTCACACAGTGAATTTCATCTTAACTAAATCATATTATAATAATAATAAGATTAAAATAGACTTCACCCGTTGCAATGCACGGGTATTTTTTCTTTTTCTACTAAAATAAGAAGATAAAGATAAGCGATGGTGACCGGACGTTTTGGCCCAGCTCAAAAGAAATGGAAAAGGATCGCATTTGTGGAGGTAATTTAGGACCATCCCAACTGCAGCGGCTCAACATCAATTTGAACATAATTCGGAGAAGATCGGAGTTCGATTTGGCATCGGTTTGAATTTTTATTTTTCCAATTCTAAACCTATCCATATACCTGATACACGCACTCGTGTAGTCCCGAGGAGGCGCAAGATCCCCACCAACTCGGGAGCAACAGGGGAGGAAGACAGACACGTACGAGCCAAAGATAGATGGCGCCCTGGAGCACCATAGCAGCTCACCGTAGGGATAATTCTTTGTTGCCATGAAGAACATGTGGTAGGCCAACGCCACAGAGAACCGCCCATCACTCGTCAGTTTCCATCTGATCGATCTCATCCGCCGACTCAAGTTTTCTCTCCGTTTCTCCAGCTCCTGATACACCAACAGAGGTTGAGGAAATTAGGGAGCCAAAATACACTCTACTGTTGTACAGACAAGAATTAACATACGAACTAATTAACAAGCTGCTATTTAGAGCAAGTTTAATAGTATAGCCAACTACTCACTCCAATTCATCTATAGCTAATCTAATAGCTCATTCATACAATAGTTACATATATATAATACACTATTAATACTTGGTCCCACCTGTCATACATACACTGTGTCTTGGAGTCTGTGCTATAGCTGGCTACAAATCTGTAGTCCACTGCTTTTCTCTCTCCTTATTTATCTTCTTAAAATATGTTTGTAGCTGGCTTATAGTCTGCTATTGTACCTGCTCTTAACAGCCAGCGAATCAGCAACTAGTAAGAAAAATCAGGTGACATGTACCAACATTGTGCAATAAAAACCAACCAATGGAAGGAAAATGTAATACTTAGTACTTATCTATTTCACAGTCGGATATTGATTATCTTGTGCCCCTGACCGACTCCGATCCGAGGGGAAATTAAAGTGGAATAAAATCTATATAAGTATTTTTGAGCTACCTACCCACGGAGAGAGATAGAGAGATAGAAGAGGATGGCGATGGCGCGGTCGGCGTTGGCTAGGGTTTCCCGCCGCCTCTTCGGATCCGTGATGTGCCCACGCCCACTCATGGGGATCCCCCCAGCCTCGCCGCTTCCCGGACCAGCAGCAGCGCGCACCTGGCCCATCCCTAACCTCCAGGTGAGGTGATCGATTCACTTTAGGCGCTTGGTCTATTCAGATATACTACTTCCTTCGTTTCACAATGTAAGTCATTCTAGCATTTTCTATGTTCATATTAATGCTAATGAATCTAGATAGATTTATATGTTTAGATTCATTAACATCAATATGAATGTGGAAAATGCTAGAATGACTTACATTGTGAAACGGAGGGAGTATTTGTTAAGTTTGGTCAATGCAGTGAAGACGCAACCCCCACTGTTTTTCACAATCCCTGCAGGTTTTCAGTGAATTATCAACGCTTTTAAGTTCTGCCTGATTTTCCTTTTTTTCTTCTTTGGTATCAATGATTTGTGTTTTGCATGGCGCTGGCTTTCTTGAGTTCTAGTTTCACGGAATCATTCTAGTTTACAATTGAGGTTTCACTATTGTTTGTATGGGTTCCATAACATTGGAGTACCACCCAATGGAGAGCTTGATAGTTTTGCATGTGAAAATGTCCACTTGGTCATGGGATTTCTCTGCAATTGAAAGTAGGTTAAGTGATAGTACTGTCTTCCTTGTCCCACTATTTTTTCCCAACTGCCGGTACAAACTGTAAGGATCTGCGCTATGCAATGTAGGAGTATTCATCTTCTTACAAAGAAACAGTTTCTCTTTGCCCATCACCCTATAACTTGTGGTTAGGGTGCAATTACAACTTGGATGTTGGAAAAATTTTCCTATGTGGTCCTCTGAATCAAAGAAATATCTATCCAAAAATCCTATAAATTTTCTTTCGATTGGCTCAAAACATAAGGGTTTTGGAGGAATTTTAATATCAGGCCCAACCTTCTTGGGGAAAAAAAATCCTTTTTGTGTTATCTCTTCTCTACTATTATAAAGATTGAAAATGTTTTTTCCGGTATTTTGGTACGTCATCCGTATTTTGAGTCGGTTTCTAAGTCCGTTCGCTTGTGCTAATACAAATCCGCGTTTGAGTTGGATTTTAAGCTTGTTTGCTTTTAGAAATACAAAAGGAGTCATAAGAAATCTCTTTTAAAAAACACCACATGCTAACTTAAGGTGAAAGTCATACTCCTAATTGTAACTCATGATTTTCTAAAATATATATATATATTCAAGTGAATTCTCACACTGAATTTACCCTAGCTAAATCGTATAACAATAATAAAATTAAAATTGCATTCACCCGTTGCAACGCACGGGCATTCTTCTAGTCTCTTCTGAATTCTATGTTTTTATGCACTCTACAGTTATTCCTACGGTTGTGCACTCTAATCTTGCATTTTTTTCTCTATTTCTATGTGTCTGAGAATCCTCAAAAGAAAAAAAAAGATCCTACATTATGAAGGACCCTTTGATATCGACCGAAGTTCTCACTGCGGGGAGTGCAGCAATTCCCTGTCCTCTACAGGGGAACCAAGGGTATGAAGTGGTCAGAGCACAAGAGGCTCCTCTCCACCAAAGTTAATTTGCAACCTGACGCAAAACTTATGGAATTGGAAAGGTGAGTAAACGATATTATAAAGACTGCACTGTTTAAAGAGGGCTCTCACACTGGATTAGTAACTAGCAAGCCTACTACAATCAGTGTGCATACCCCCATTTGAATCCAGTAGGCTGCATTTCAAATTGATGGACCATGTTTCTTGTTTCATTTATCCAATGGATTCTAAAACTTGAAAAATTGTTTGGCGCTAGCTCTACAGTATATATAACCGTGATGATCAAATATCAATAGTAGGATGCTAGGGCTATAGTCTTATAATTGTTTTCATGCTATATTAATATGCATTCTCTGCTACCATGTGTATGCAAGCATTGTGTACTAGTTATCCATTTCAATCACATATACTTTTGTAGGTCGGCAGTCAAGAGGACAACAGCATGGATCGATAAACCGTGCAACGCACGTGTGGTGATTTTAGTGTTTTGCACTGGTGCTGCAGTTGCTTACGCTTGGATGGCGAGACTCGCTTTTTTTCCCGAAAGAGCTAAACTTGATGGTGATGGAAAAGCTCATCCGATTAAGCACGCATGACGACTTAGTAACTTAATTGCTTGTTGTCAGGCAGAGTCAATTACGTTTCATGTCCGTGAGAAAGTGTAGTTGGACGGTCGAGTTCTAATCGTTCCGGCAAAGAGCATTATTTTATCTCCTTCTCCCTCCTCTGTTTCATATTGTAAGTAGCCCGTTTCATATTGTAAGTAGCTCTTAACTTTTTCTCTAGTTAAATTTTTTTAGTTCATTAAGTGTAACATTGAATATATTTTGATAATAAGTTGGTTTGTGTTGAAAATATTGTTACAACCAATCTACTCCGTAATTATTATTGATAACTTATCTAGTTGGACGGTTAATTACCTGATGAATCATTTGTCAGTTGATTGGCTTTACTTCCCCACAAAAGAAAAACAAGAGTTTATTGGAATTACAGGTAGATGAGGGGAAGAACTACACTTTAGTGGAAACAAAAAGGAGAACAATTCAGAGTTGGAAAAAAAAAACAAGTTCTCGATATACATCAACAAGAGTAGTTTTGGATTTACTTCAAATGATGGTGACCACGAACAAGATATAGGCAAGCGGCAGGAACAAAAACAAACAAATTTTATCTACACTGAACAAGTAAATGTCAGATCGTCCTGGTTGGAATCCGTCAGACCGTCTCAGACCTCTGAGCAAGTAGAAGTGCCTCAAGTTCTTCTCTCCGTTTCTCCAGCTCCTGATACAACAGAGGTCGACGAAATTAGGGAACGAAAATACACTCTACTGTTGTACAAACAAGAATTAACATACGAACTAACAGAATATTTAGCAGCGAATCAGCAACTAGCAAGAAAAATCAGGTGCCATAGACCAACATTGTGCAATAAAAACCACCATATTCTGACCAATGGAAGGAAAATGTAATACTTATATCCTATTTCACAGTAGGATATTGATTATCTTGTGAGCACGCATTTACTTGATGTCATATGTTGTGACTCAAAATACAGGCTCAGTGTCATGATTACTAAATGAAATTAGGAACCAAAGTACTCACCTCCAGATCCTTGACTGCTTGTTCTCGTGATGTTGCTTTCTGCTGCCTAGAACGCTTCAACACACCAATGCACAGCACACCCTACATATTCATCAAAGCTTTTAGTACACATAAGAAAACATGTGGCATGCAGTATAAACAGGGTCAAAATTGGATTATTTGTTCAATGTGCATTGCAAGATCATCCTCTACTACATATCATTAGAGGCAATATCTCATTTTATGATGCTGATGCCTGTATGGAAAACGTCTGAAACCACATTTCAAGTTTACAACTTCATAATGTTATTAGTCATTTAAACAAGCTCAATTAGCTACTGAACTAACTGTCCAAACAACAATGAGAACAAAATTGCAAGGCATCAAATTATTCTGCCCCAGTGGGGAATTATTTTCTGCTGAATTTAATATCTAGGCATCTGAAACTAACCATGTTTTAAAGTTCAGAATTTTAAAGGCTATTACATGGTACTAGTAATATTTAAACACAAATGAACACCCAAAATTTTGTAGACTCACCGAGATTATATAGATCAGTCCACATGCAAGAAGCAGATAGCTGGCAATGTCTTCAAGCAAAATCAAATCACCCCTTTCAACATTTGGGTATGCCTTTGTCATGACAGCAACACTGCAACAAACCAAATGAAAAACATTAATCCACCACAGGAACAGAATGGAGTACAATTCAACAAGGACAATAATTATTATTGAAGTTTTTCTACTATTCATCTGTTCATTACACTGTTCACATGCAAAAACATTACAGTTAAGATGTTCACGATCCCAAAATTTATGGTGCAGTTGGTGCATGCAACAGTTGTAATTCATGGTTCATGTACTGTGAGTGCAAAGAGGCCAATATGGTGAATGGCAGTTGGGTGATTACGGTTTTACTCTTTATTCATGGACTAAACAAGTTCTCTGCAGAAGAATTTTTAAAAGAGACTCAAATTTGTACGCAAAATACTACTGAGTTGAGAGTATGTTAATGTACTAATGTTTTGAGACCTAGGTAAGCATGTGTGAGATATTTCCAGCAAAACTTAGGTGCATCCTGTGTTCAATAAGCCACAAAGGGATTCTTGCTGTTCATCCTAGAATGGGAAACCTCTGGTTCACAGATTGATGCAAATCAACATGTGAGAAGTACAACACACTGAGAGGAGCACAGTTCATAATATACCTTATCACCTTAATACAGAACTGTTAAGAGGTTATCACTCATCAATATAATGAAACATAGGTGCTAGCTGGGCAGGCTTAACCACTTTATATAGAAATAGCACCAATATGGAAAGAGCATATCATATTGTGAATTTGTGATAGTCCATTTTAGAGCCAGGTTCTGAAGGTACTCTGTGCTCGTCATGTTATATCAAAACAACATGGATGTAGAGTGTTTGTAAAATATTCAACAAGTATTCTTGCACCCTGTTACAGGCTTACAGCTAACCCACCTGTTTGAAATTTAATAACCCAGCTAACTAATTTTATTGATCTTCAATTTCTCCTATTACTTGCAAAAAAGCAACAAGAATGAAGCATATGCACTGAGTAGTCTGTGCAATCATATATTCCAATAAAAATGCAGAAATTGAGAAACAGATTTGGGATCATAATAGAAGGAATAGGAATCTAAATTCCTCCAGGATACTTACAAGATCTGTAACATTCCCCTTGCAGGCCAGTACTCCAAAATCTAGTCACATCAAAGAGTATAAAACATCAGTAAACTAACGGGTCAATAAAATTATGAAAAAAAAAAACTCGAGCTAACTAGTTGAAAGATACTGATACCCACACAAGACAAGTCTGCAAACGTTCCATAGTATTACCAAACAAATAATTGTGAGGATTCAGCAGAACAAGCAAGATTTGGAGGCTCAAATGCAAAATTATTCACAGGTTAACAGCTTAGCAGTAAATAATTTGGATTTATCCACAAAACAGCTCATATAGGAAAAAAACAAGCTTTACATAATTAATCTATGTGTAATTAACAAACATACTCATATGAAACAACAAGTGCAATCGCAAAACAAAATATTACTGCAAAGTTCATTGCCATCTGCGAAGTGGCACTATTAATGAACAAATTGGACACTAATAATCGAAGGACGCCATCCAATAAATATTTTTTTTGCTGTAACTCAAGAATACTTATTGAATCGGAAACTGTAGCACCTGAAATGTAAATCGAGTGAAAAATGGCGTGCAAAACAAGAAGGAAGAAGCAAAACCTTGCAGAATTTCATGATGAATCCCCACTCTGTCTCGACCACCCCCACGAACAGCGAGATGACCACCGCGTAGCACCGGAATATGCCCCCGAATATCTGCAACCCAACCAAACAGCCCAAATCAGCTCGTAGCCGCGCCATGGCCGGAAAAACGAAAAGGAAAGGCAGGGGCCTACGCACGTCGAGGCCGGTGCGGAAGGACTGCACGGCGGAGAGGACGTTGACGGCGACGCAGAGCGCGGCGGTGGCGGCGGTGACGACATTAAAGCAGCGGCACACGATGAGGAGCGGGTCGGACCTGGACCGCGTGGGGCGCCGCCGCCGCGGCGTGTCCCCGCCGCCGGAGAGCTGCTGCTGCGCCTCCGGCGCGGCGCCGCCGCCTCCCGACGCCGACGCGGCCCCCTTGGCCATGGCTAGCCTTTAGGGTTAGGGTTAGGGTTAGATTTCCGAGAAGCTTCGAGCTCGAGGCCTCCTCCTCCTCCTTTAGTGGTGAGGTGGCCTTCTTCTCTTCTATTCTCTTCTCATATAAAGCGGAGGTGGAAGAAGACGCGGTGCACCGTGGACCCGGTCCACGGGTGTACGTGGACCAGGAGACTCAGGCTCAGCGGTGTTGGTGCACCCGGTCCAGGGAAAGGGTGGGGTGTGAGGGGAGGGTGGCAGAATGTGGGGCCAGATGCGTCCCGCCACGTGGGCGAGTGAGGTGGAGGGATGAGCCAATGGGAGGTGAGCTCGTGGTAGCTGACGTCATGAATGCTCCATGCTGTTAGGTATGGGAAGCATTGATAAATAAATCTAGTACTACCTCAGTGCAGCCGTGGATATCCGTGTCTAATGTTTAACCGTCCGTCTTATTTAAAAAATTTACGAAAAATTTAAAAATATTTAGTCACACATAAAGTACTATTTATGTTTATCATCTAATAGCAATAAAAATACTAATAAAAATTTTTTCAAATAAAAGAACAGTCAAACGTTGAATGTGAATAGTGTAAAACTGCACTTATTTTGGGACGGGGATTAGAATATTCCGATGGATGATGATTAAATTTCCAGAACGAGGATTAGTAGTGTACATGTGTTCAAATGAGGACAGTAGGAGCATGAGAGTTGCTCAGATGATTCAGCATTTCAAGAAGTGTGTTCGATTTTTGTTCGCTTTCTGAATAAGTATTACTAGCAGTTTTAGGTTGTGTTCTTAAGCTATGGTTATTAACCTCCACTCTATTATCTCCCGCGCGCACGTTTCCTTAACTAGTAAATAGTAAATAGTATTCTTTTTAAAAAAGAATCTATAAACAGGCTGCTAAAAATTCATATTAATGAGGTTAATTAGGTTTTGAAGCCTAAAAAGCTCAAGATTACATAAAATGGTAAAAGTATAATTTAATCATGGAAATTGCAAGTTAGGCTTCAACCTGAACAAGGTATAGTTATATATGGAAGCAAGGGATAACTTGCTAACTGGTATTCCGTGCAGCTCACTCTGCTAGTTTATGTTTTTTTCTCTTTTTCTATCGTAGCAAATGCACATCCATTCTACCTATGCAACCTCTGCACTGCAATGCAGTCAGCTAAGGTGGTGTTTGGAAAGGAGGGACTAAAGTTTAGTCCCTCTCACAAAAATTTTAGTTCCTCTCATAGAGACTTATGCTTTTGTGAGAGGGACTAAAATTTTAGTCCTCCTTCCCAAACACCACCTAAGGTTGTGTTTAGATGTAGGGATGTAAAGTTTTGGCGTGTCAAATCGGATATACGGATATACACTTGAAGTATTAAACGTAGAGTAATAACAAAATAAATTATAGAATCCGCCTGCAAACTGCGAGATGAATTTATTAAGCCTAATTAATCCGCCATTAACAAATGTTTACTATAGCACCACATTGTCAGATCATGGAGCAATTAGGCTTAAAAGATTCGTCTCGCAATTTACACCCAATCTATATAATTAGTTTTTTTTATATTTAATACTTCATGCATGTGTTCAGATATATTGTAATCTTTTAAAATTAATTTCATTATTACATAATGGTAATAGATTTGATCACAACGCAGTGTACATGACACTGCTGAGTACATGAGCTTAATGCATGAAACAACAGAAGTTCCATCCTTCTTTGACACGGACATTTTTACCATAAACTTTTCGCATCATTTCGAACAATGCAAGCAAATCAATTCCAAGTCCTTACTCCCCAGGTGCAAATGCAGCGGCGTCAAAGGTCTTGCAGATTCCGGCGCCACTCTTGAAGGTCACCTTCTCCGGCGACGCCTCGGCGGCGTACACCTCGACGATGCTGAGCCAGAGCATCAGCTCCTTGGTCTTCACGCCGGTGATCTTCTTCAGCTTCCCCTTCTCGACGAACGCCGTCACCTCACCGGCGTAGGACACGTTCTGCTTGATCTTCTTGAAGACGTGCTCGATCTTCTTCTTCCTCTGCACCATCCAGATGAACCCGGTCTCCCGGTTGTAGCCGAACTCCTCGATGTCCTCCAATGGCAGGAGCCCCATGGGGAGGCCGAGCTCTCCCAGAAGCTCGATGGACTTCTTCCTGCAGATGTCATCGCCGTTGACGATCTCCGCGCCGGCGCGGTGGCTCTCGATCTGTGAAGCCATTGGAGCGGTAGTTTCAGAGAAAATTAGAAGAGAAGTTTTTGGTTTGGAAATGTGTTGTGTTTTGTTTGTGCAAATGGGTTGAGAGATTGGTGTGGTGGAAGATGAGATGTAGGGTTCTGTTTATATAGAGTTCCCAAGTATCATGTTAATTTGTTTGTTCATTGTGATGAAGATCTGTCCAGGCTGCAGATGTTGCGAGATCCCCCATGACTGAGAATCTGAGATTTAGTGTATCCCATAGTGTCATGATATTGAAGAAACCTTATGCTCTTTATAATAAAATCAGTCATTATCCTAGAGTGTTGTCGTCACGTCGTGCATTAATAAATATAAGCAAGTATAAACGTGTATCATCAACTATTACCATTGTATCAATGAGTATCATCCAAAGTGCCATTCTGTATCATCAAAGGTATCCTGAAGATTTTAATAGCTTGAGACGAAAACTTCATTGATTCTCAAATTAAAAAGGAAAAGTAGAAAAGAAAAAGAGATAAATAAACAACTCCCTTACCAGGCGTGTGTTTCTAGAAAAAAAAAGTCTCTCTCTTCCCAGGCGAAGGTTGGAGTGATCGCTGATGATAGCAAATTCCAACCAAAATTCAGCATTCAGAGATGCTTAATGGAGAACTTAATTTGCAGAGAAATACGAAGCCATGTTATACTTATGTCGCGTTGAGTTGAGGGATTCAGAGATGCTTGGGAAAGTTAAGGGCCGCTGTCTCACGGCGGACAACCTGGCGAAGAGAAACTGGCCGCATGACGCCATTTGCTTCCTATGCCAACGCAGAACGAAGACTGTCATCATTTGCTTGTGTCCTATGATTATATGGCGGCGGTTTGGCGCAAGCTGAGACGTTGGTGCAACATTAACATTGCAATCCCTGCGGAAGATGGCAGGCCGCTTGCAGATTGGTGGATCGCGACAAGACGGCGTTTTCAGAACACGTATAGAACGGATTTCGATAGTCTGTTCATACTAATTTGTTGGCTTATCTGGAAAGAGAGAAATACAAGGATCTTTCAACACATCGCCAAGTCGGTTGACCGGCTAGCGGATGACATCAACGAGGAAATCGCAATTTGGAGGGCAGCAGGGATTTTTTTCCCAGGCTAGCGAGTAATCCCGATTAGAGGCGGGACTTGCCCCATTTTTTCCTTTTCTTTCCGGGCTTGAGTTTGCTTGAGACCGGCGCGACATCCTTCATGTCGTTGTAATTAAAACTTTATTTCCCCCCGATCTTAATGAAATTGGCCGGCCTAGCTTTGGCCGTCCCGGCAAAAAAAAAAAGATGCTTGGGAAAGTTGCAGAATGTCTGAATAAACTCAGGGATGAAAGCATAGCGATTCTCCGATGAACCAACTCCGTGGCGGTGGCTGCATTACCTCTCTTCTTCTCTGGATCCGGCGACCGTGAAGCAGCGGCGCTCCGGTTGGCTGACTATGACCCCCTTGGGCCGTTCGATAAAGGCCGTGCGGCCCAGATAGAAGAATTATTTACGACCCGTGGGCCTCACGAGCAGGCCCATCTTGGCCAATCGCGCTTCAACGCCGGCATGTGAATCAAAGGGGTTCGGCGTTTAAAATTCCGACCCCTTTCGAGGGATCTCTTTCCGCCGTTTGATCACCCTGTACGGTCCAGATGATCCAACGATTTCTTGAGATTATTTCAGCTTACTTGCCCATCGTGGTGATCATGAAAACATTTCATCATTCTGATGCACTCTGTTCTGCTGTGTTGCGGTTAATTTGCGTCTCCAAGAGTAGTTCTAAGTTGTTGCATCACTTTGTTGCTTGACTTGTAAGTCTGAATTTCAAGTTGCCTACAGTAAGGGCTGAAACTGTATAATATCTGCCACTCACCCAGTAGTATAAGATTTTACTGAAACACGTCGCGGTGTTGGGGTTGTGACTTGTGAGGATTGGTCGCTTGCTGATGCTTGCGAATTCCAAGTAAAATTCAGCATTTTATCCATACATGCAACCTAAAGCGTACTCGTCGCCGGTGGCCGGCTGCAAATCTATCTGATCAAGGCGCAAAGTGGGTTCGGAGTTTAAATTTCCGAACCCGCTCGGTATCTTTTGATGAACAAATGCTTACGAAATATGCAGGCTCCCTATATCTCGCTTTATATATGTTCGTGGCAGTGATTTTCATATCTGGTAGTCCTATACTTTCCCATGTTCCCTGGCGATCAGGAATTTTGTTGTTGTGACGCACCCAGCTTTTTGGAATGGATGGGCTTACATGAACACTGGTTTGATCAACGTTTTGGAATGAATGAATTCTTCAACATTTGTATTTGGATGTAGTCGTATCTGGCACAATGGCTCGAGGACAATCAGTACGTCAAAGAGACTAATACGCAAAGGTTTTGGATTAGCTACAGGAGACTGAAAAACTTGCAGTTTGCTGCAGAGTGGCATCAAAGCACAAAACAAATCATCAAGCGAATGTGCTATATCCATTCAGTGTTTTCAGAATAGCTACAGGAACAGGATCAAACATCTCAATTCACCATATTTACCCATCTGAAAGGATAAAAAGAAAGAACCCAACAGAACCTGCTCATAAAGTTCAGAGAAGATGAAGACGACACAGTTATGAGTTATCGACATGGCTCACCTGGCAGATGGGACAACCCAGAACCAATAGAATTTTCAACAAGTTAAATCACTCCTAGTTACTGGCAGTGTGCACTAGTCTATCAAAGCTTACAATTTTTTAAGTGGCCTGTCCCAGTGTTCATTAACCAAGTTGACTAGGGTCTTGTGCAAAACAGTGGTTTTTTAAAACATGAATAGATACAGGAATATACTCATATATGTTTGCAATTGAATACAAAAAGATGGTAGATGTAAGATAGTGGCTTTAAGCCTTTTTACATAATTAATATTATGAGTCTTGTCATCATTTCTTACTCCAGCTTATTATAGCTGACCTAAGTTCTTACTCCCCGAGGGCAAAAGCAGCGGCATCGAAGGTGTCAGAGAGCCCAGTTCCCGTCTTGAAGGTGACCTTCTCCGGCGAGGCATCGGCGAGGTAGACCTCGACGACGCTGAGCCAGAGCAGCAGCTCCTTGGTCTTCACGCCGGTGATCTTCTTCAGCTTCCCCTTCTCGACGAACGCCGTGACCTCACGGGCATAAGACACAGTCTGCTTGATCTTCTTGAAGGTGTGCTCGATCTTCTTCTTCTTCTGCACCAGCCACATGAATCCAGTGTCCCGGTTGTAGCCGAACTCCTCGATGTCCTCCAATGGCAGGAGGCCCTTAGGGAGACCGAGCTCTCCCAGCAGCTCAATGGACCTCTTCCTGCAGATGGCATCTCCATTGACGACCTCAGCACCGGAGCGGTGGTTCTCAATTTGTGATGCCATTGGATGTGTAGTTTCAGGCAAAGAAGCTTTGGGTTTGGAGATGTGTTGTGTGCAAATGGTTAGAGAGATTGTTGGTGATGGAAGATGAGATATGGGGCTCTGTTTATATAGAGTTCGTACTGATAAAGATCTTTGCAGACTGCTTAGGCAAAGGTTATGAACTTTGGATTCCAACTTGTTTATACACCAGCCTTTTCTGACCATGCAGTTGATAACTGCATAGAAATTCTGACGCACAAAGTCCCTGACCAAGTCCACTACCGATGTAATACATACACTTCTTCAGCAAAGGATGACTCTTTATTTATTCATTTATTTATTTTTGCAAGGAGCCAGAGATGACTTATACCAATTAATTAGCAGTGTTCAGGTCCAATTCGTTGGGCTCATGATCAGTACTCCCTCCGTCCCCAAAAAAAAGACAAACCCTGGTTTCCGTGTCCAACGTTTGACCGTCCGTCTTATTTGAAAAAATTGTGAAAAAAATTTAAAAAGATAAGTCACGCATAAAGTATTAATCATTTTTTATCATCTAACAACAACGAAAATACTAATTATAAAAAAATTTCATATAAGACGGACAGTCAAACGTTGGCACGGGAACCCACAGTTTGCCTCTTTTTTTTTTTTGGGACGGAGGGAGTACTAGTCTACTAGACACTAGTGCCATATCACCAATCAAGTATCAACATCATTTCAATGTTTTCAGAAAAGCTATAGGAGCAAAAGGCAGAGCAGAGCACAAAATCAAAATCATAACATTATCAGCTTTTTTTTTTTGCCAGGTCGGCAGAAAGAGTGGCCGACCAAATTTCATTAAAATTTAGGGAGTTTATTACATGGTTCATTTCACGACAGTATCAGCTTCAATCAGCAATAAAAGGCAAAGTGCTGTGTTGTCAAAGCGGTTCGATCACAAATGACAAACTAATGCCACAGAGTTCCACATGGGAGGCAGGCTAGTCTCTACTCTATTTACAACAAATTCATACCTTGACGAGTCATCCAGTCAAATCCATTTAAGAGTAACACGGCCTAAAACCCCAGTTCCATTAACTGAAACTGTTACAGCAGTTTTTTTTACCGAACTGTTACAGCATTTTAAGGCACAGAAAATGCAGTCAACTCTCTCAGGTTTTTGTGTTGACGATTTCGTCAAGTTATAATTCAGTTTATTTTTACAGAGCAACCTTGTCACTACTCATCCGAGCAAGAACCAAGAACAAAGGATTCAGTATATCAATTCCAAGTGGGCTTCCAAAGCCATTATTTCTCACTTGCATTACAGACTGAAATCAAACATCTCGACCGAGCACGGTCAGATACTACTCTCTTGTCTCTTCATACTTCAACTCCCCATCTGAAACGACAATAAAAGGACTAGGTCTGTGTCACGCCCCAACTAGCTCCAAACGGAAACCAATGTAAGACGATCCAAATTAACCTGCTAACCTATACCAGTCCCAGAAAATAGAGCTGGTACAATAAGAAGATAGGATATCACAACGACAGGGATTTTATTATTATGAGTAGAGATGCATTCATTGTTGGAACTGCGAACAGACTCCGAGTTCATAGCTGCATTACAATAAGGCAGAAGTGGAGACTAACCCAAAGCCACAAGTATGACTTGGGAACTAAGCCGAAATCGTAATAGGGCTCGAAGCTGCTTGCTCCTAGAAAAACTCCTCATCAGCTAGATCAACTATGTCAAAAGAGCACCATTTTTTTCTTCCTTCTTTGCTTCTGGGGACTCTGGAATCATCGTCATGATGTGATCTTTCGAGGGATGTCGATATCTCTCCCGCGCCTAGTTGCAAAAGACGCTGCTCTCTGGGCAGAGCGTCTGAAGAGATAGAAGATAGGATTGTGGTTTCCGTTTGGAAGGAAATCATTTCTTCCTCCCTTCGAATCCCCCCCTCCCCCCGCGTGTAATATAAACTTTTGTAATTTTCCTCCCCTTACTAATGAAATTCAGGTGGGGATCCTCCCCCTCCCCCTGAACTTTCTAAAAAAAAGAGCACCATTCTCTTAAAAAAAGACCATCAATACAATGTTATTTATTCGATCTACTCCCTCCGTTTTTTAATATATGATGCCGTTGACTTCTTGATACGTTTGACTATTTGTCTTATTAAAAAAAGTAATTATCATTTATTTTATTGTGACGATTTATCATCAAATGTTCTTTAAGCATGATTTAACTTTTTTTATATCTGCAAAAAAAATTAAATAAAACAAATGGTCAAACATATATAAGAAAAATCAACAATGTCATATATTAAAAACCGAAGATAGTATATAATAAACATAATTAATTAAACTATACATAAATTAATCCCAAATCATTCCATGTATTTCTCTACACTCACCTCTTCTTCTTTGTCATATTCAACTCCTCAATTAGAAGAAATCATTTTTTTCCTTTTTTTTACCCTCCAAAGAACGGGAGTTGTTACTGTTAAAAAAAAAACATTTTCCTCCCTAAGCCTGCGAAGTGCCAAGGCTAGCAAAATCAAAACTTCGATTTTTGGATGGGATCTAGTAGTGTGTAGCAATGGCGACACGGGATCGTCTCCTGTTCGAAGTGCATTTGGCCGGCGAGCTGCTCGTCGGCGGGGGACGAAACCAAGTGCTTGGCGGTCGGCGGTGGAGCAGCAAAGGCAGCCGGATCTGGAGATTCCGGCGACAACGGCGGCGCTGTACGGACGGCGATGCCTCTACAACCATCCCGTCTGACAGACAGGTGAGCCCTGTCTGCTCTTCATTCAGGTACTCAATTTCCAAGGATCTGGCGATCTGTAGCATATTCAGAATGTTTTATCTTCCCAGAGAAAAAGGTGTATTGATCCCAAAAGGAATTTCAGATAAGTGGTTAGTCAGCTGCTGTCCAAGTGATTAACCATGATTTTTTGGTTTAAGGAATGTAGCAGCTATTCAGCAGTTTAAGGAGAGAGCAAACCACGGTAGAAAAATAAAAACATTTTCTGAATGTTTCTTCTCCGTTCATATCATTTTTGCTTGTCAGAAGAAGTAGAACAAGTAGAAGTGAAACCTGATTGTATCAACCTATATAACGTGGAACTCAACAAGTCAATTATATAATGTTCAGATCCTTTTTTTTTCTTTGTCACCAACTCACCATTGTGGAAGTATAAGGCCATTGCATTGTCTAGTATGGGTGTACTGGTCAACCAAAAATTCACATGCTTTTGAAACTTGATGAGAGATCTATGCTGGTCAGTCTTGTATGGTTATACAATGGTAAATTCGGAGAAAAACAGAAACTTGAATTCAAAAGTTCAAACCAACAAATTAATCTGGGTTGAGATAAATTCCAGGTACGCGTGGAACTGTGTTTTTCTAAACCACAGTGCAATGCCTTTCTTTTGATGGACATGTAGAAGTGAGTATCAACTTCCTTGATTTCTACTCTGGTTCAGATTATATAGTTTCTCTCTGATCTTAGTTCTTGTCGACCAAGTGATCTATACTCCCTCCGTACTCATAAAGGAAGTCGTTTTGGACAGCATCACGGTCTCCAAAACGCAACTTTGATTTTCTTGTTTCTATAAAAATATTTATTGAAAAGTGATATATGTATACTTTTATGAAAGTATTTTTCAAGACAAATCTATTCATATAATTTTTACTTTTCAAACTCAACAACTTAAGAGTTATTCATGATTTATATTCCCAAGGTTTGGCTTAAACATTGTCCTAAACAACTTCCTTTACGAGTATGGAGGGAGTATAACAGAAGGCCATAGCGTTGTCTAGTGTGCAGACTGGTCAATTAGAAACACACATGCTTTTGAAACTTGATGAGAAATCTATGGCCCTGAACCAAATCTCTAGAATTTTCTTACTTCTTTGGTTGTCTTCGCTGCATGGTCAATCTTGTATAATTATACAAAAGCAAATTGAAAGAAAAACAAAACCTCTAATTCAATAGGTTGACGCCAAAAATTTGATCTAAGTTTCAGAAAAATTCTACATACGTGTGGAATTGGTTTATGTAAACCACAGTGCAATTCTAGCATGTGGCTCAGTGACTGCCTTAGTTTGTGCTCCGCTTCAGATTATATAGTTCCTCTCCAGTCTCAGTTCTTGTCAACCTATTGTCGAGAGATCTTCAAAAATATTAGATTGCATAATTACAGATGGAGACATTTTTGTCTGCAATTCTGAGTGATCTTGCCACTAGATCCTTATCTTTCCTGATCAACAAGTGCTCAAAACCGACATCACCAACCATGGAGGAGAAACTGCAACGGCTCCTTCTTCGGGTCCAGATCATCTTGGAGGAGGCAGAGGACCGACATATCGCAAACCAAGCCATGCTGCAGCAACTGAACATACTGAGGAAGGAGATGTACAGAGGGTATTACATCCTGGACAAATTCAGATACCATGACCGTGAAGAAGAAAATACCAAAGATCACCAAGTGAGTAACTCTTTCGCACCATCCAAGTTCAATCCTGCCAAGCGCATTCGGTTCTGCAGGACAAGTGGCCAGAGTTTACAACAGCAGCTGCAGCAAGTTCTTGCCAGCCTTGAAGCCACCATTGAAGATACCAGTGAATTTTTCATGTTCCTGAACAGTTATCCACGCTTGAACCGTCAGCCATATAGCACGCACTTGGTCTTAGACAAGTGCTTGTTTAATCGCCAGATGGAGATGGAGCACATCATGAACTTCCTGCTTAAAGACAATACAAGTAGTAATCAAAATCCAGGTGTCTTGCCAATCATCGGTCCAAGCAATGTTGGGAAGAGCACGCTGATTGAGCATGCCTGCAATGATGAAAGGGTGCGTAACCACTTCTTTCAAATTGTGTGTTTCAGTGTTGATGATCTTGAAGATGCAAACATGGTGACTCTTCGAAATTGTGGTGTAATCAAGCATCAAAACCATGCAACTGGTGGAGAAAGGATACTAATCATAGTCGAACTAATCAGAGACATCAATGAGGGGGCATGGAGAAGATTGTACTCAGCTTCCAAAACTTGTGCCGCAAATGGCAGTAAAATTATAGTCGCAAGCCGATCTGATAGTATTTCAAGCTTTGGAACAACACATGCTCTGAGAGTAAAATTCTTTACTCAAGAAGCTTATTGGTACTTTTTCAAGGTGCGTACATTTGGAAGCATGGATGCAGCGGAGCACCCAAAGCTGGAATCAATAGCCGTGGATATGGCCATGGAATTGAATGGGTGCTTCATGGGTTCAAATGTTTACAGTGTACTTCTTAGAGAAAATTTCAATGATAAGTTTTGGAGCATGGCCCTGGCAAGAATCAGAGAATTCAGGAAGCTGAATCTCTTACTCTGCGGTACAAGTAATTTTGACGATCCTTGGCAGGGTGTTGGACCTGCATACGTTAGGAGGGTAAACAAAATTTGCTCCGGAAATCATGTGATTCATGAGGACTATAAAGTATGTTCTATTCAGAACATGATTCATTGTCACACAAACTCTGCTCACAGTGAAGATGATGTTCCCATGGTGAGTTTGCAAAATTTTCTCTTCGGAAGTGTTAAACCGCAAGGAAAATTCAATGTTCTCGCATGGAGGTCTCACCTTCCACCTCACTACAACTACATTTTCAACTGTGAGGTACGGAGGTCACATCATTTGATCTCCAGGAAGAAGAGATCTCAGAAGCTTTCCACCTGACCATCTCAGATGCTGATGCAGGGGAGCGTTGCCATGTTGGGCCAAAGCAAAATGAGCATTGTCATTACAGAGTGCATGCATGATAGTCTCTGATTGCAAGCACATGATTGGTTCATAGGAAATTATCTGATAATTGTATAGGAAATTGTCTTGCCTACTCCCTCTGTTCAAAACAAGACAACTGGATTTGAACATGCAGAGGGAGTATGTGTGGTATAACTAGTTTGTAAATAATTGTATAGGAAATTATCTGATACTCTCTTTTTTTTTTGAAAAAAATGTCACATAGAATTAAATGATTATAATACATTTGTCTATGCCAAGTTAATTAAATCCCTACAAGTTAATAGTGATGAAATCGAAATTGCAAATAAGGAGTTTATGTTTTACACTTTTGTTCTGGTTATTACAGTAGGCCATGCTAAGACTTTGTTCTTAAAATTAACATCCCCATTTTGGAAGCGTTCTCCTTTCACAAAATTTTCACGAGTGAAGGTGCCTCTGCCTCCTGGAATTAGGTTGGAGGGACTTTTGGTTTAAGCAATCTCTCAAGTCTCTAAAAAATAAAACTGATATTGACTAACTAGCCTATTCAATCATGTCCATATTTTTTTCTGGTTGCATACTATTCCTGAAAACGATAGCGTTCACAATTTTTCAATCCCATAAATAATGGATGCATTTTCATTGGTCTTCTAGTCAAACAAGTTGGCATAAAAAACACGTTACCAAACTACAACACTTGGCATTACATGATTCCTCTCAACCTCCTTATCTATCCATTGAGTAGTATCTGCAAAGTCTTGATGGGGAAAAGAAAAATTGGTTTCATTCCCAGAATGAATACTCTCTTGTCTGCAATCCTAGGAGAGCTTGCAGGTAGATCCTTCTCCTTCTTGATAGACAGATGCTACTCCAAACTGCCATTGCTGTCCAACGAGGAGAAGATTCAGAGACTCGAAAGGATGCTGCACCGGCTCGCTGCTGCCATCGAAGAGGCCGATGGGAGGAGAATCTTGAACCATGGAATGCTTCGACATATCAACATTCTGAGACAAGACATGTACAGAGGGTACTACATTCTTGACTCCTTCAGATTCCCTGAAGCCCACGAGGAGGAGATCATGAGCGAAAACAATGACAAAGTGAGTTACTCTTTAGCTCTGTCTAAATTCAACTCTGCCAAGCGTGCTCGAATCCCTATTGGTACTAGACGGCATGGAGATAGAGGAGAGCTTGAGCAGGTTATTGACAACCTAGAGATCGCCATGGCTGACATGGTTGAGTTTTTTCTGCTTTTGAACAACTACCCTTCCATTCATCGTCAGCCATACAACAGTTACCTGTTCATGGACAAGTGCATGTTTGGGCGTCAAATGGAGATGGAGCATATCATCAATTTCTTGTTGCGTCCTGAACCTCCAAACACGCTAAGTGTTGATAACCTTGGTGTCCTGCCGATCATTGGTCCAGCCAAAGTTGGGAAGAGCACACTTGTCAAGCATGTTTGCGGCGATGAGAGGGTGTGCAACCACTTCTCTCGCATCCTTTTTCTTACTGAGGGCGATTTTAGAGAGGAAAAATCATTGCTTACACTAAGGGATTCAGGAGAGATAAGGCATATGCACACATCATCATCGGTTTCAAGTGGAGGAGAAAGATTGTTAGTCATCATTGAGTTAGCTGAGGATGTTGCTGATGATAAATGGACAATGATGTGCGCTTCTTTGCGAAGTTGCATTTCAGCTGGAAGTAAAATCATAATCACAAGCCGGTTAGAGAAGATCGCAAAGCTTGGAACAACACAACCTCTACGTCTGAAGTTTTTGTCGCGAGAAGCTTACTGGTACTTCTTTAAGGTGCTCGCATTCGGAAGCTCAGATCCTAAAGAACACCCTGAGTTAGCATCTGTATCAATGATGATGTTCAATGTCTACTTTGATCATGAATTGTACAAGAATTTCACTGGACCATTCATGGACCTAAATATCATGGCCAGCTTGATCCAAGCTACATTTTATGAGGGCAACTGGCTCAGCCTCCATGCACACACCAGGAGTTATTTTCTGCTTAGGAGAGGTTTAGGTGATGATTTTGAGTTGAAGACGAAGTGCGTGCCTATTCCCAAGAAAAATACAGTTGTGCAACAGTATTGTGTAATTTCCGACTATTGCCGAGTAGGGGTTGCTCATGAAGAAGATCAGAAGGTTCCCAAAATTGACATGCAAGATGTCTTGTCAGGGAGAGTTGCACCTGATGGGAGATTTGATGTTGTGCTATGGAGATCTCACCTGCCGCCATATTACAGCTACATATATAGCTGTGAGATCCATGAGTACAGGCCTGTATTAGCTACCTGCAAGATGGAACTCCGGCAAAAGAGGAAAAAAATTAGATTGAACTAGATGGTTTTCCATATGTATAAATGATAAAGAGTCTGTCCTATTTTATCACTGAATTCAGCTGTATGATTAACACTAGATTCATCTTTTTATGCTGTCTCTTGTAAACTTATCCTACAAGCTCTATTAGTTGCTGTCTTATTGTTTCCTCATGTGAATCTGTCCTTGATACGCAGGTCTGTTGAATGGAACAGGATCAGCCGCAGTTGTAGTTTTGACTGCAACTTTTAACTTCAGCAGTCACCATGATCCAATCATTCAATACTCAACCAAGATCAAGAGGCTATTTCTTTTTTCATTCCTTTGATTAGTTTGCAGGTTAAGTAGGCGATATGTATGAAAACATTTATACATGGGGTAAGGATAATTACTTAATTACCTAGTTATGCTCGTTTGTGTCAAATTGGATTTTAGATTCTAGTTCAGAGAAAAACTAGCCTCTACTAATTTCATGCTGAAAGAGTGCCCTACTTATATCAAATTATATTTATATGAGTGGGGGAGCCCCTCACCTCATAGGCTAGTTTTTGGGGTGGAAAAGACCCTTTATGATCCTACATTAAACAACAGTCAAATAGTTTTTTTATATAGAGTCTTATATGAATGAATTTTCAAAATTGTAATTACTAAATAATTAACTTGGAAGTTCAGAATGAATTGATTTAAGTGTGGTAAATAACTATAATAAATACTACTCCAGTATTCAAGAAAGGCGAGAGGAGAGATGGGCTGTTGATCTAGAGCCATTGGTTACATGTTGGGTGGTTGGATGTAGGGACTGCTAAAGTTGCAGTCACAACTGCAACTGCAGTCGATCCTGGTGAACAGATGCTCACTGCTCATTTCCGATGCACATAATCTCTCATATTTTTTGAGTGAACAATCTCTCATATTCAACTCTTGAGAAAAAAATATCCACGAATTGAGTTGTTACACATTTTTAAGTCCATACATCTGTTTACATATGAAATGTTTTTATTTGTGCGATTGACTACATCAAAAGTCCATTATTCTTTTTCACACATTGCATCCCGAAATTCAAATAACTACAACTAGATCATATAAATTAAAACTAATAATCATCCCATGTATTCTTTTCTCTTCTTAGCATTCCTCTTATTTCATCTCCTATATCTTCTCACATAATTTCTCAACTTCTGTAACAATATGGGTCACACACCTTCTCTATGATATGATTTTGGCTCGGCATCCATCAATAGTATATATGGGGCTAATTATCAAAGGTAAATGTTTCAGCGATAAATCAAACCATATCCTAACTACAGGCAAATAATTTTTTTTATATTTTCAGATAATGGGATCTATACTGTCCATTATCCAAAAAAAATGTTATTTTCTTTCTTTCCTTCATTCTGAGTTTATGACTAACTTACCAAAGGCTGCCGAAATTAAAGCTTCAATTTTGGATGTACCTGTGGTGATACTACTGTGCCTCCAAGCTCCCTGATTTGGCAGTGATCGACGTCGTCCGCCACGAAGGGAGAAGGAAGCGAGCATCGCCGGTGGTGGTGCAGCAAAGGAAGTCGACATTGATACAGTGGTGGTGCCGGCCTGATCTGGAGACATCAGTGGCAACGGTGGCTCGGGTACTTCCGACAATTGGCAGCATGGATGGTGATGCCTCCTCTCCTCCCATGTCTGCTCTTGATCCAGGTACTTAATTTTCAAGGATCTGTAGCCTATTCTGAATATTTTATTTCCCAGAGAAGTATATTACAAAAAGAAATTTCAGAGATGTGGCTAGCTAGTCAGCTGCCGTACAAGTGGTTAATCATAATTCTATTGTCCAGGAAACGTAGCTATTCAGCTGTTTAAGGAGATAACAACCATGGTATGAAAACAATTTATGAATTTTTCCTCTCTGTTCATGTCGTTTTCTTTAGTCTTTCAGGTCAGACAAGTAGAAGTCAAAACTTAACTCTAAATTAACAAAGAGCAAAGAGTTGAATTTGGCCCTGCAAAAAAAAGAAGGCTTGAATTTTGTATTGAGGCCTTGGAGGCATTGTCCTTAGCAATGATACATTTTATTGATATGGACTGGTCCACAAAATCTGTCTATGGTGCATCGTGAAGTCTATGGACTGGTCAACAAAAAATACACGTGGTTGTGAAGTCTATGGTGCTAAACAAAATCTGTAGAATTCCCTTTACTGCTTTCATTGTCTCTGCTATGTGGTCAGACTTGTTATGCTAAAGCAGACTGCAGAGAAAAATATAGAAACTTGAATTTTAAGGAGATGTGGAGTTTCTGGAGTATGTGGCTGCCCTAATTCTCACTCTGTTTTATCATATCCTCTAAAAGTTCTGTGATTACATAGTTTCTCTCTGGTCTCAGTCCTTGTCGACCTGTTGAGTGATTTACAAAATTTCAGATTACATAGTTACATATGGAGACATTTTTGTCTGCAGTTTTGAGTGATCTTGCCACTAGATCTATATCTTTCCTGATCAACAAGTGCATGAAACAGACAGAGTCAGCCATGGAGGAGAGACTACGGTGGCTGCTGCTCCGGGTTCGGATCATCGTGGAGGAGGCAGATGAACGGATCATCACAAACCAAGTCATGCTGCAACAACTGAACATACTAAGGAAGGAGATGTACAGAGGGTATTTCACCCTCGACATATTCAGATGCCATGGATACAAAGGTGACAATACTAAAGATCACCAGGTGAGTAACTCTTTCGCACTATCCAAGTTCAATCCTGCCAAGCGTGTTCGGCTGAGCAGGGTCAGTGGCCACAGTGTACAAAAGCAGTTGCAGCAAGTTCTTGGCAGCCTTGAAGTTGCCATTGAAGATACAAGTGAATTTGTCATGTTCTTGAACAATTGTCCACGTCTATGCCGCCAGCCATATAGCATGCACTTGCTTTTAGACAATTGCTTGTTCAGTCGCCAATTGGAGAGGGAGCACATCATGAACTTCCTGCTCAAAGAGAATACTCCCGGAGCTGAAAATCTAGGCATCCTGCCGATCATCGGTCCAGAGAACGTTGGGAAGAGCACCCTGATTGAGCATGCCTGTGATGATGAAAGGGTGCGTAACCACTTCTCTCAAATTGTGTGTTTCAATGACAATGATCTTGAAGATGCAAACATGGTGACTCTTAGAAATCGTGGTGAAATCAAGCATCAAAACCATGCCACTGATGGAGAAAGGATACTAATAATTATTGAACTAATCAGAGACATCGATGAGGGCGCGTGGAGAAGATTGTACTCAGCTTACAAAAATTGTGTTGCAAACGGCAGTAAAATTATAGTCGCGAGCCGATCTGATAAGATAGCGAACTTTGGAACGACAAAGGCTCTTAGAGTGACCTTACTTACTCAAGAAGCTTATTGGTACTTTTTCAAGTTGCGCACATTTGGAAGCACAGATGCAGCGGAGCACCCAAAGATGGCATCCATAGCAATGGATATAGCCATTGAATTGAATGGGTGCTTCATGGGTTCAAGTATCTACACTCTACTTTTGAGAGCAAATTTCAACGCTCAGTATTGGAGCATGGCTCTTGCAATAATCAGAAAATTCAGAAAGCTGAATCTCTTACTCTATGGTGCATGTTTTTTTGATGGTCCTTGGCAGAGGGTTGAACCGGCATATGTTAGGAGGGTAAACAAAATTTGTCCTGAGTATCTTGTGCTTCTTGATGACTATAAAATATGTTCTGGTCAAAACAACATAGTTCATTGTCACACAAACTGTGCTGACAATGAAGATGAAGTTCCCAATGGTTAGTTTGCACGATTTTCTCTTCGGAAGGGTACCTCGAGGTAAATTTAAGGTTCTAGCTTTTAGATCCCACCTTCCACCTCACAACAACTATATGCTCCATTGTAAGGTACAGAGGTCATATCATATGGTCACCAGAAACAAGAGATCTATGAAGTTTTTACATGACCATCTTAGGAGCTGATGTATAATGTAATTATGTCGAACTGTAATCTGAATCTGAGCATTTGTTGAAATGCTTTCACCTACTGTCTGAGCGGCTGCGCCATTTGTAGTCCAAGCTCATGTGTATGTGCTATTTTAAGAGGTTGTTGAACTCAAGTCGTCAGAATCTATTAACATTCTGTATTTGAAGTTTGATCATGTCACCATGCGTGAGGCACAAAGACACTTGTCCAGAAGTCAATGATAATTGACAGCAACTAATATATTGATCCTGTGTTTACTGTTTCTGAACATTCATTGCTTGTTGCAGCTTGCAACATACGGAAAGCATCCTAATACAAACACTCCATGGCATTATGATCACACTAATTACACCAGCTTCAGTTAGAGGTTCAGTACTAGCATCAGCACTAACTCTCAACAAAAAAAAAGAAAGAAAAGAAGATATTTCTGACTAGCTTCTTCAACCCTGTCCAGAGGGAAAAGTGTACTGATCCCAGAGAGAGGAATTTCAGAGAAGTGATTAACCATAATTCTACTGTTTAAGGATAACATTTGCTGATCTCGTTTTCTCCGTTCATGCCATTTTCTCTACTGTTCCAGACAGACAAGTAGAAGCCAAGACTTAAATCTAAATAAAAGAAATAGCAATAAACTTGAAATTTGTCCTGGCAGGAAAAGAAAAAGAGAAACAAGACTGGATTTGTGTATTGGGGCCTTTTTGGCATCATCCTGAGGAATGGATACGTTGGATTGATTATTAGCAATAACAGCGGTAGTGACAAGAAGTTCAGATCCTTTCTTTTTCTGTCAATAACAGTGGTAGAAGTAGATGGTACTGACTGATGAACTGAATCTGTACAATTCTTTTTGTTGCTTTCATTGTCTGCGCCATGTGGTCAGTCTTGTACAGTCATGTTAACGCTAACTGTAGAGAAAAACAGACACTTGAATTCAAAACAGTTCACTCTGAAAAATATATTCCAAGTACGCATGGAACACTGTTTGTGTAAACCACAGCACAATGCATTTTCCTGGAGCTACTTGAGTATGTGGTTGCCTAATTTCTACTCTGCTTCACCAGATCCTCTAAATTTTCAGTCTACATAGCTTCTGTCAGGTCCCAGCTCTTGTTGATCCGTTGAGTTATGTACAAAACTTCAGATTACACACTTTACATATGGAGACATTTTTAACTGTGTTTCTGAGTGATTTTGCCAGTAAATCCATATCTTTCCTGATCAACAAGTGCTCAAAGCCGACAGCATCAAACATGGAGGAGAGACTGCAACGGCTGCTGCTGAGGATCCGGATTATCATGGAGGAGGCAAAGGACCGGCTAATCACAAACCAAGGCATGCTGCTGCAACTGAACATACTGAGGAAGGAGATGTACAGAGGGTATTACTTTTTTTTTTTGAAAATAGAGGGAACAAAGTACAACCCCTAGGGGTAAAAAAAGGAGAAACTGTACAAAACTGAGAAGGCCTATACACAATTTGATAGAAAATCCCGTAGCCTCCTTGCTCCCGCCATGGTCCAAGTTCTTGCCTCCTCTTTTATTTTTGCCATAAGACTAGGGGCCGCAGTTTCCTTGTGTTCGAAAACCCGCCGATTTCTTTCCTTCTAGATCTCCCAAACTATTAAAAGAATTAGGGTCCGAAGGCCTTTTTTGGGCACCTCCTTTGTATTGGCTAGCATTTCCCACCAATTTTGGACACTCTGGCATGGAGCCCAGTGGCACGAGTCCAGTTGCTGGTAAGCCACCCAGGCGGCAGTCAGGCTCCAGATCCTTCTAGTATATCTACAATGGACAAGAAGGTGGCTTGCTGACTCACTTGTCACGCGACAGAGGGGGCACGTCCCGTTGTTTGGCCATCCTCTAGCTGCTAGCCGGTCTGAAGTCCACACCCTGTTTTGGATCACAAGCCACGCGTAGAATTTACATTTTGGTGGGGCCCAGGCTCTCCAAATTAAGGCGTTGAAGTTGGTGCCAGTGGTTCCCAGGCATTGCGCTTTGTATGTCGACGAGGCTGAGTATTCTCCATGGTTTGAAAGCTTCCAGGTGATTTGATCGGGCTCGCTTTGATTGAGAATAATGTACTGGGTTGCTTCCCATAGGGAGACGAGCTGGCTAATCAGGTCCACAGTGGGAGGAATGGTGCCGCTGAGGTCCAGGTCATCGATCCAAGAGCCGTTCTCAATGCCTTCCCTCAGTGTTTTTCCTCTTTTTTGGATATCGCATAGGCTAGTGGCATGGCGTCTTTTGGTCTCTGTCCCTCCAACCAGGCAGAGTCCCAAAATCGAATTGTGTTGCCATCCCCGATCGTTATTTTAGTGGCCGTAGCAAAAAGCCTTTTATCAGTTTCATCACACGGTGTTTCGAGGCCTACCCATGGCTTAGTGGGATCTTTTCATTCATGCCAGAGCCATCTCAGATGAAGGGCCCTTCTGAACTTTTCCAAGTTTAGAACTCCGAGCCCCCCTTGCGCGGTTGGGAGGCATGTCCTCTCCCAATTGATCTTATGTCTCCCGTCCCTTGCCAAAGGAGCCTTCTTCTCTTCGCATCGAGTTGGCCTAGAGCTTCTTTGGTTACCTTGAGTGCAGTGAGAAGGTAGATGGGTTGCGCTGTCAGCACCGATTTAACCAAGGTTGACCGTCCTGCTGGTCCCATGTTTTTCCCCCTCCATCCAGCCGTTCGCTTTGCAATCTTGTCAAAAAGTGGTTGAATATCCGCCTTCCTCATCCTCCCTAGGACTAGCGGCAGACCTAGGTATTTTATCGGGAAGTGTGCTCGCACAGCTGGTACACCGTCAAGAATGGTGTCGAGGTCTATGTTTTGACATCTGATTACTGCCACCTGAGATTTCTGCATATTTGTGACCAGCCCAGCCGCATGCCTGAAGCGTGTAAGTATGTCAGTGAAGGTCTGGACATCCTTCCTGACAGGATTGATGAAGACCACTGCATTGTCGGCGTACATGGAGATTCTTAGGCGGGCTGCTCTTCCCCGTAGCTTTGTGATGGCATTAAGCTCCGTTGCTTTTGAAAGCAGCCATTGTAGGGGATCAATCGCCAGGATAAAGAGGAGCGGTGATAGCGGGTCGCCTTGCCTTAGACCTCTGCCATGCTATATTTTGCCCCCCGGGATTCCATTGAGGAGCACTTGTGAGGTGGAGGTGGAAAGAATAGATGAGACCCAGTCTCTCCATTTCTGTGGGAAGCCATAATGCTGAAGCATAGCTAGCAAGTAGTCCCATCGCACTGAGTCGAACTCTTTGGGTATGTCGAGCAGAGGGTATTACACCCTTGACAGATTCAGATACCATGCCCATGAACAAGACAATAGCAAAGATAACAAGGTGAGTAACTCTTTCTCAAAATCCAAGTTCAATCCTGCCAAGCGTGTTCGGTTCTTCTGGGTCAGTGGCCATAGTTTACAAGAGCAGTTGCAGAAAATTGATCTAAGAGATAGATTTGGGGATTTCAACAGTAACATTGATCTAGTCCTAAAGGGCAAATATAAATGTATACAAGAGGTGCGAAAAATACTAAACTACCCCTAATATCTTAACAGTTGGCAGTATAGAAGTCACCCTTGAAGATGTGAGTGTGTTTGTCATGTTGTTGAACAGTTGTCCCCATTTGTGCCGTCAGCCATATAGCATGCACTTGCTTTTAGACAAATGCTTGTTTGGTCGCCAAATGGAGATGGAGCACATCATGAACTTCCCGCTCAAAGTGGATTCTCCAGGTGCTGAAAATCCGGGTGTCCTGCCGATCATCTGTCGACGGAAAGCTGGGAAGAGCACCTTGATTGAGCATGACTGTAACGATGAAAGGGTGTGTAACCACTTCTCTCAAATTGTGTGTTTCAGTGACAATGATCTTAAAGATGCATGCATGGTGACTCTTAGAGATTGTGGTGCAATCAAGCATCAAAACCATGGCATTGGTGGAGAAAGAGTATTTATTGTTATCGAGCAAATCGGAGACATCGATGAGGGTGTATGGAGAAGATTGTACTCAGCTTCCAAGAGTTGTGTTCCAAATGGTAGTAAAATTATTGTCGCAAGCCAATCTGATAAGATTGCGAGCTTTGGAACAACACAAGCTCTTAGAGTAGAATTGTTTACTGAAGAAGCATACTGGTACTTTTTCAAGGTGTGCACAGTCGGAAGCATGGATGAACAGGAGCACCCAAAGCTGGCATCAATAGCCATGGATATGGCCAGGGAGTTGGATGGGTGTTTCATGGGTGCAAGCATCTACAGTGTACTTCTGAAAGCAAATTTCAACGCTCGGTTTTGGAACATGGCTCTGGCAAGCATCAAAGAATTCAAGCAAACGAACCTCCTAGTATACGGCGCATATATTGACAATCCTTGGCAGACGTCTGAACCGACATATGTTAGGACGGTAAACAGAATTTCCTCTGAATACCTTGTGATTCTTGACGACTATCAGACATGTCCCATCCAAATCACAAACCCTGCTCAGAGTGAAGCTGAAGTTCCTGAGGTGAATATTCAAGATTTTCTCTTTGCGAGTGTTATACCTCAAGGAAAATTCAAGGTTCTTGCATGGACATCTCACCTTCCACCTCACTACAACTACATGCTCAGCTGTGAGGTACAGAGGAAATATCGTATGGTCGCCAAAAAGAAGAGATCGCAGGAACTTTGCACCTGACAGTTTGATTGTTTTCTGAAGCTTTGTAACTGACCATGTCAGAACCTGCTGTATAATGCAATTATCTGAAGATGTCATCTAAAACTGAGTTTGTGAAATATTTTCACCTACTATAATAGCCACTAAGATATATGTTTCTGTTAAACTTTTGTGCTTGGGAGATGTTCTAGTTGTTTCTTTCTTCTTTTTTGGCTGTGTGCATTTTATGCAGAGGCCGGGGGTGACTCGGTTTGATTGTATCATCTTGATGTAATTAACTGAGTCTAAATAAAGTTTCCATTATCTAAAAAAACTATATGAGCGAGGGCGTAGTCCAAGCTCCTATGTAAGATTACTATTTGTAAGAGGTTGTCAAACTCAATTCATCAGCATCTATTAATTTTGTACTGTTTGAAGTTTGAAGATTTCAACATGCTGAGAATTGATAGCTACTGATTGATCCTATAGGACGCGGCCTGAATGAACAGTTATACACTAGAAGTTATGTATTTTCCATAAAATTGATTTGATGGTTGTTTGGATGATTTGACTTGACATATTGAATTCAAGCTTGAAATTTGAATTCAAAAAGTTTCTAGGAATGCAAGGGAGTTTGTATGTTGGATGAATTTAAATAAATTTTGAGGAGAACATAAAACAAGATGAAATTTTAGGGAGATATCAATGAATATTTGAATTCAAATTTATAATTTGATGTCCACACAGTGTTAAGAATAAGGAGTTATTTGGATTAGTATATGTCCTATTTCAGTGAATGGGGATATTTTAATTAATTTTGTAATGGTTTTACAAGGGAGATGTAAATTCCAAAATTCGAGTTCTGAGATTTTTGTTAAGATAGAATGTTTTGGATCAAAATTTTGGGTTTACTAGGAATGATTTAATTGATATCTTGCCACTAATTCGTTGATACACACAAAGAATCAAAGTTTTAAAATTATGCTTTTTAATTAAAATAACTTTTAGCTGCTAAACAAAAGTCAGGGTGTTACAATCTCTAACCTTTCTAAGGTGTTCTCTCTTTTTTTCAGGAATACGCTAGGAGCATATCTTTGTATTAAGAGGAATAAAAGCTATTTACAAATCAAACATAAATTTTGAAGGGGACGGGATACCGGAGCGGAACAAAGGACTTAAACTACAATCTCACAACCAATTAAGATGACCTAGGGACTCATAAAAATAGAGACCAAGTGCCGGTACTACCACCTTTGCTAGGCGCCATAACTCCGCCTCCGCAGCCATTGTTTTCACTACTTCCACCCATGGCCACTGTTGGAGGTTGAAGACCTAGTTGTTTCTCTCCTTCCAGATCATCCAAGCTACTAGTGCCACAATGGTATCAAATCCCTGATGACGATCTTTCGCGACTTTTTTCCTGCTAAGGCAAAGCCACTAATGGAAGGAGGCCTCATGCAAGGGGAGGCAATCTGGCTGATTAATCACCCTGAGAACCCACCGCCAGAGCTAGCGGGATTATGGGCAATCAACCAAGATATGATCTATACTCTGTTCATGTTGATTGCAAAGAACACAGTGGACAGGGTGGGGGAGCCCCGGCCCCGATGGCGAAGACGATCAGTAGCCTAGCATCTATTCGCTGCGACCAAACCAGAGGAAGTAGCGACAGCGGGGAGGGGCCAGTGGCTTCCAGATTGTAAGGTGTTCTCGCTCGTGATCGAGGTACTTAATTGTAAAGAATCTATAGCACAAAAAAGGAATTTCAGAAAAGTTGTTAGCTGGTCAGCTGCCATTCCGGTTGCGAAAGATTGTTGGTCATCGTTGAGCTAGTTGAGGATGTTGATGACGACAAATGGAGAAGGATGTACTCTTCTTCACGAAGTTGCATTTCAGCTGGAAGCAAAATCATAATCACAAGCCCATCAGACAAGATCGCAAAGCTTGGAACAAACTCGATCTCTTCATGTGAAGTTTCTGTCACGAGAGGCTTATTGGTACTTCTTCAAGGTGCTTGCATTCGGAACCTCAAATCCTGAAGATTACCCTGAGTTAACATATGTATCAATACCATGCCAACGTGCCATGTAGGCATCACGTACAATAAAACCGTCACTGAAATCGTCTAGGAAGGAAAAACGAGCCAATTTTAAATGTTAAAGAGAGGTTATATACCTAGTTTTGTAGTTGAGAGAGATGAGAATAAGACTCATCACGTCCTCCGCGACAAGCCCGTGCCGTCCGATGCCCCCCGACTCGGCTTTTCTTTTTCTCCCCTCAAATCTTAATGAAATTCGGTCACCGGTCTTTGGCTGACCCGGCAAAAAAAAAAAAAAAGAGAGAGATAATAAGACTCGGCCCATCGATGAGGGATGAGCAATGGACTTTCTCATAGGAAAAGGACCACGCGCAAACTCCGTTCGGACCAGCCCATCTACCAGCGGGCCCTCCTTCCCACTTCGCCGGCGTTGGCGAGCTGCTCGTCGGCGGGCGGCGGACGGCGGCGGCGCTCCGGTGGTGGGCGCCCTAGTAGGCTAGTGCTCTGCCTCCAACTCCCCTGATTTGGCAGCGATTGATGCCGTCCGCCATGAAGCCGAGCTCGGCCGGCGGTGGCAAGTGGCCGCAATAGCCCTGGCTGGATCTGGAGACGTCGGCAACAATGGCGGCGCCGGACGGCGATGCCACTCCTCCGTCCTGCTCGTCTAATTGGCGATCCAAAGGTTACTTAATTTTCAAGGATTTATAGCATATTCTGAATATTTTATTTTTCCCATAGCAGTCAACTATTGATCTCCAAAAGGAATTTCAGAATTGCGGCTACCATAATTCGTTGAAGAAATGTAGCTAAAAAAAAAAAAGCTCTCTACCTTTTTCAGTCAAAAAAAAAATGTAGCTAATCAGCTGATTAAGGATGAGACAGCAACCGCAGTTCGAAAAACTATTGGTCAAGCCAACAAAACAAAAATGTATTTTGTATTTGGGCATAACAGTTGTGCTACTACTACTAGACAACATTATCTGATGATCCTGGCTTGGAATAGGATGGGAAATTTTCAACAGTTGGGAAAATTGGTTGGTACCAATGGTTTTAAGAAGAAGCATCAATATATTCGTTCCTATTACGTCAAAACAATGAAGGAATATGACTGCTTCTGGCAATACTCAAATGCAGACCAATAGGCATCACTACTGCTATCTTTGCCAGCTGTGCTATCAGCAGTTTCCATTTTTATCAGTTTTAACATGCTGGCTTTCATAATAAAATGGTTTAAACATGTATTTTCCTCATGTTTGTCAGGTCATTTTGTCTAGTATGCAGACTGTTCAACTAAAAATACACGTGCTTGTGAAACTTGACCAGAGATCTATGGTGCTGAACTAAACTTGTAGAATTTCCTTTGCTGCTGTCGTCGTCTCAGCTATGTGGTCAATCTTCGACGGTTATATTAATCCAAACCGCAGGGAAAAATACAAACTTGAATTCAAACAGTTTACATTCAAAAGCATATCTAGGTTCAGACACATTAAAAGGTATACGGTATATCTATGTTCTGAAATGCATCTCTCTTTATGGAGACGTGGAGCTACTCGAGTTTGACGCTGCCTTAATCTCTATTCCTATTACAGATTTTCAGACTACAAAGTTTCTCTCAGGTCCCAGATCTTGTTGATCCGTTGAGTAATCCACAAAGTTAGAGACTACACAGTTTCACATGGAGATATTTCTGTCTGCCATTCTGGGTGATCTTGCCAGTAGATCCATATCATTCCTGATCAACAAGTGCTCGAAACCGACAGTGCTAACCGTGGAGGAGAAACTGCAACGGCTGCTGCTCCAGGCATGTTTCATCGTGGAGGAGTCAGATGAACGGCTCATCATAAACCAAGCCATGCTGCAGCAACTGAACATACTAAGGAAGGAGATGTACAGAGGTTATTATACCCTCGACAGCTTCAGATGCCATGGTCATCAAGAATATAATCCCAAAGATCTTGAGGTGAGTAGCTCTTTTGCACCATCGATGTTCAATCCTGCCAAGCGTGTCCGGTTCTGCAGGGTCACTGGCCAGAGTGTACAAGAGCATCTGCTGCAACAAGTTTTTGGCAGACTTGAAGTCACCATTGAAGATATGAGTGAATTTGTTATGTTCCTGAATAGTTATCCACGCTTTTGCCGTCAGCCATATAGCATGCACTTGCTTTTAGACGAGTGCTTGTTCAGTCGCCAAATGGAGATGGAGCACATCATGAACTTCCTGCTGAAAGAGGATACCACCGGTACTGAAAATCCAGGTGTCCTGCCGATCATAGGTCCAGGAAAAGTTGGGAAGAGCACCCTGATTGAACATGCCTGTGACGACGAAAGGGTGCGTAACCACTTCTCTCAAATTGTGCTTTTCAATGACGACGATCTTGAAGATGCAAACATATTGACTCTTAGAGATTCTGGTGTAATCAAGCATCAAAACCATGCCACTGGTGGAAAAAGGATACTAATCATTATTGAACTAACCAGAGATATCAATGAGGGTGCATGGAGAAGATTGTACTCAGCTTCAAAAAGTCATGTTGCAAGTGGTAGCAAAATTATAGTCGCAAGCCGATCTGAAAAGATTGCAAGCTTTGGAACCACACAAGCTCTTAGAGTAAAATTCTTTACTCAAGAAGCTTACTGGTACTTTTTCAAGGTTCGCACATTTGGGAGCATAAACGCAGTGGAGCACCCAAAGCTGGCATCAGTAGCCATGGATATTGCCAGGGAATTGAATGGTTGCTTCATGGGTGCAAGCATCTACAGTGGACTTCTGAAAGCAAATATCAACTTTCAGTTTTGGAGGAGGGCTCTGGCCATAATCAGAGAATTCAAGAAGCTCAATCTCTTACTCTACGGTGCATATTTTTTTGATGATCCTTGGCAGGCAGTTGAACCATCATATATTAGGACCGTAAACAAAATTAACTCGGAATATCTTCTTGTTCTTGACGACTATCAAATATGTTCTGCTCCGAACATGATTCATTGTCACAAAAACTCTGCTCACAGTGAAGATGAAGTTCCCATGGTGAATGTGAAAGATTTTCTATTTGGAAATGTTAAACCTCAAGGAAAATTCAAGGTTCTCGCCTGGAGATCTCACCTTCCACCTCACTACAGTTACGTGTTCAACTGTGAGGTAAAGAGGTTACATCATATGGTCACCAGAAAGAAGAGATCTCAGAAGCTCTGTACCTGACCATCTCATTGTTCTCTGAAACTGATGCATAATGTAATTATCTTAAATTTTAATATAAATCTGAGCATTTGTGAAATAGTTTGACCTACTGTCTGAGCAAATGCGTAGTCCAAACTCGTATGTAAAATGTGCTATTTGTAAGAGATTGTCAAACTGAAGTCTATCAGCATCTACTAACATTCTATATTTGAAATCTGAACATGTCAACATTCGTGAGATGAAAATACATTCATTGCTTCTGGCATGAACTAACTGCTCCTATCTTAATAAAAGATACACAAAGTATCAAGTGCTGCTGTTGACTTCTGACCTTTTTTTTTTTTTTTTGAAACCGAAGACTGCATTTGCTGGTGTTATATTAAGTAGGATATAAATTAATTGCTTGTTGACTTCTGACCATTCAGTGCTTGTTGTAATTTGCAAGATACACAAAGTATCCTAATCCTTAATAGAAGACAATGCAAACACTTTGTAGCAGTATCAGAAGCTATACCAGCTATGGATAACACGTTGGTGGCAACGTCAGCTAGGGTTCTTCCAACAATGTTGGCACCGGATGGCGATGCCTCCTTGCTGTCTGTGTCTGCTCTTGATCCAGGTACTTATTTTTCAAGGATATGTAGCATAACATGAACTTTTTATTGTCCCAGATAAGTGTATTGATCAACGAATTGAATTTCAGAAAAGTTGGCTTCCGCTCAAATGGTTAGCCATAAATCTATTGTTGAAGAAATGTAGTACCTAGTAAACTGTTTAAGGAGATAACAACCGGAGTTGGAAAAACAATTTGCTGAATGTCACTTTTCCGGCCTCTTTGAATCGCAGGATTGAGAAAATGTAGGAATAGGAAAAACATAGGATTTTGATAGGAATGTAAGTGCAAAACAGATGATTGCAAAACACATAAATGGCCGTTTGATTGGACCACAGGCAAAACACAGGAATTAGAGGAGAGATAAATACTCAAAGAAAAGTTTCCATGAAAATTCCTCCAAAACTTGCATGGTATTAGGCATTTCATAGGAATTTCATAGGATTCTATAAGATCCATTTCTTTGATTCAAAGGACTATATAGGAAAAATTCCTATAGGAATGGGATCCTCTAAAATTGCTATGAATTTCTTTTGAATCAAAGGGGGCCTAAATCAGCAAATAGCTTGGCAGAGTGATAACATGGTGCTAGTGTGCTACAAGCGACAACAAGATCATCAGATTTTTGTTTGTCTCCATTGTAGATGGTGCTGACTGATCAACTGAATCTGTACAATTCTCTTGCTTTCGTTGTCTCCACCACGTGGTCAGCCTCGTACCGTTATATTAATGCAAACTGTAGAGAGAAACTGACACTTTGAACTCAAAACAGTTCACACTGAAAAATTTCCAGGCTACATAGTTTTCTCTCAGCTCCCAGTTCTTGTTGATCCATTGAGTGATCTACAGAACTTCAGATTACATACTTCACTTATGGAGACATTTTTGTCTGTGATTCTGAGTGATCTTGCCACTAAATCCATATCTTTCCTGATCAACAAGTGCTCGAAACCGACAGCATCAAACATGGAGGAGAGACTGCAACGGCTGCTGCTCCGTGCCCAGATCATCGTGGAGGAGGCAGAGGACCGGCTCATCACAAACCAACGCATGCTGCTGCAACTGAATATACTGAGGAAGGAGATGTTCAGAGGGTATTACGCTCTTGACAGATTCAGATGCCGTGGCCATGAAGAAGATGATGCAAAAGATCACCAGGTGAGTAACTCTTTCGCGCAATCCAAGTTCAATCCTGCTAAGAGTGTCCGGTTCTTCAGGATCAGTGGCCATAGTTTACAAGAGCAGTTGCAGCAAGTTGTTGGCAGCATAGAAGTCACCCTTGAAGATATGAGCGTTTTTGTCATGTTCTTGAACAGTTGTCCCCATTTGTGCCGTCAGCCATATAGCATGCACTTGCTTCTAGACAAATGTTTGTTTGGTCGCCAAATGGAGATCGAGCGCATCATGAACTTCCTGCTCAAAGTGGATTCTCCAGGTTCTGAAAATCCGGGTGTCCTGCCGATCATTGGTCGACGGAAAGCTGGGAAGAGCACCTTGATCGAGCATGCCTGTAACGATGAAAGGGTGCGTAACCACTTCTCTCAAATTGTGTGTTTCAGTGACGATGATCTTAAAGATGCAGACATGGTAACTCTTCGACATTGTGGTTCAATCAAGAATGGAAACCAATGCACTGGTGGAGAAAGAATATTGATCGTTATCGAGCTAATCAGAGACATCGATGAGGTTGTATGGACAAGATTGTACTCAGCTTCCAAGAGTTATGTTCCAAATGGCAGTAAAATTATCGTCGCAAGCCAATCTGATAAGATTGCAAGATTTGGAACAACACAAGCTCTTAGAGTAGAATTATTTACTGAAGAAGCATACTGGTACTTTTTCAAGGTGCGCACATTCGGAAGCATGGATGCACAGGAGCACCCAAAGATGGCATCAATGGCCATGGAAATGGCCAGGGAGTTGCAAGGGTGCTTCATGGGTGCAAGCATCTACAGTGGACTTTTGAAAGCAAATTTCAATGCTCGGTTTTGGAACATGGCTCTGGCAAGCATCAGAGAATACAAGCAGACGAATCTCCTAGTATACGGTACATATTTTGAGAATCCATGGCAGGCGTCTGAACCTCCATATGTTAGGACAGTAAACAAAATTTCCTCCGAATACCTTGTGATTCATGATGAGTATCACACATGTTCTGTTCAGAACATGGTTCTTTGTCGCACAAACTTTACTCGGAGTGAAGCTGAAGTTCCCATGTTGAGCATGCAAGATTTTCTCTTTGGAAGTGTTAGACCTCAAGGAAAATTCAAGGTTCTTGCGTGGAAGTCTCACCTTCCGCCTTACTACAACCACATGTTCAACTGTGAGGTACAGAGGAAACATCATGTGGTCGCCAAAAAGAAGAGATCTCTGGAACTTTGCAGCTGACAATCTGGTTGTTTTCTGAAGCTGTGCTCCTGCTGACCATGTGTTGTATATAATGTAATTATCTTATGCTGTAATGTAAAACTGATCATTTGTGAAATGTTTTTACCTAGTATCTGAGCGAGTATGTCATCCAAGATCCTATGTAAGATGTGCTATTTGTAAGAGGTTGCCAAACTGAACTAGTCAGCATCTAATAATTTTCTGCTATTTGAAGTTTGAAGATGTCAACATGCTAAGACGCAAGGATATTAGTTCAGAAGTCGATGACAACTGACAGCAACTGATTGATCCTATGTTAATTGCTACTCCGTATTACCTGCCACTGTTGACCTCTGACCATCGATTCCTTGTTGCAACTTGCAAGAAAGCATCCTAATCCTTAACGAAATACAGTACAAACACGTATTGGCACGATCAGACGTTTAAGATCACATAACATAGGTCTGATATTTCCAATTTGGTCGGAAAATTTCTTCCCTTTTTTTTTTCATTTTTTGTGAATTTGGTCCAAATTTAGTCAAAATTGTTTAAATTTCAAATTGTTTCGTTCTGAAAATTCCCAAGATTTCTGAAATTTCTCTGAACCCCCGTGCCGTGAATAGAAAGTACATTTTTTTTAGATAATGGATTAAACCAGCCTCTACATCCAAACAGATGTACACAACCAACCAAACTTACAAGTAGAAATGTGCGAAATGAAATCGCAAACAATGATTCCAGCGTTGCCTTTTTCCGGTTCCTCTGACTGAATTTTTAATCTGGGATGATAACTAGCCTAACCTTCTTCTGTGTTTGCAAAATGAGTAGTTTTACAACAAGTTAATTAAATCTGTATAGGTCAATAATTGCTTGGAGGAATTAGTTATTGACGAAATATGTAAAAGTCTATAGAAAGGTGTAGTCTCCCTGTATTTGGTCAACACTGGTCAGAAAATACAAGAAAAAATATCATGCACAACGAAAGTCTCGCTTTATAGTAGATTCAGTACTTGAGTCATCAAACAGAACTCTTAAGCAAATCTCTCAACTCTCAACCCCAAAAAGAATAATTGGTGTTGATTGATTGCATACTTTTCTATAGAACCACTGCATCCACAAAATTTTGTTCACCATCAATCGATGTCATTTTAATTACTAGTCAAACAAGTTGGCATCAAAAAAATGCTACTCAGACAAGCTAGAGCACTTGCCATTATACGATTGCAGGATTCCTCTTATTCTGGTTGTTGATCCATTCATCAAATTGTTGTCTGAACCATCTTGCAAGGGGAGAAGGAAAGTTCCATTTCCCAAATGGAGACTCTCTTCTCTGCAATCCTAGGAGAACTCACCAGTAGATCCGTCTCCTTCTTGATAGACAGATGCTCCTCGAAGCCGTCATCGCCGCCTATGGCGGCGACGTTCATGGAGGAGAAGATTCAGAGACTGGAAAGGATGCTGCTCCGGCTCGCCACCGCCATCGAAGAGGCAGAGGGGAAGCACATCACAAACCAAGCCATGCTTCGTCAGGTCAACATGCTGAGACAAGATATGCACAAAGGCTACTATGCTCTTGACACCTTCAGAATTCAGAAACACCAGGAGGAGGACATGAACGACGACGATGACAATGAAGTGAGTTACAACACCTTATCTTTGTCTAAATTCAACTCTATCAAGCGAGCTCGAGTCCTTACTGGTACTAGACGACATGGAGATATGAGAGAGTTCGATCAGATGGTTGACATCATAGAGATCACCATGGCTGGCATGGCTGAGTTTGTTATGCTTCTGAACAACTATCCTTCCATGCATCGTCAACCATACAACACCTACATGTTCATGGACAAGTGCATGTTTGGGCGCCAAATGGAGATGGAACATATCATCAAATTCTTGTTACATCCAGAAACTCCATATAGTGACATATTTGATGTCCTATCAATCATTGGTCCTGCCAAAGTTGGGAAGAGCACACTTGTTGAGCATGTTTGCAATGATGAGAGGGTGCGCAACCACTTCTCTCGCATCATCTTTCTTAGTGATAGCGATTTGAGCGAGCAAAAATCATTGCTTATCCTAAGAGATTCAGGAGTGATAAGGCATAAACACAACTCATCATTAGCTTCAAGTGGAGGAGAAAGATTATTGGTTGTTGTTGAGCTAACTGAAGATGTTTCCGATGACGAATGGAGAAGGATGTACTCCTCTTCTCGAAGTTGCATTTCAGCTGGAAGTAAAATCATAATCACAAGCCGATCAGAGAAGATTGCAAAGCTTGGAACAACACAACCTCTTCGCCTAAAATTCTTGTCTCGAGAAGCTTACTGGTACTTCTTCAAGGTTCTCGCATTCGGAAGCTCAGATCCTAAAGATTACCCCGAGGTGGCATCGGTATCAATGGCGATGTTTAATGGATACTTTGATCGTGAGATGTACAATACTTTCATTGGACCATTCATTGATCTGAACAACATGGCTACCTTCATTCAAGCTAGTATTTACAATGGCGACTGGCTTAGCCTGCGTGAGCGCTTCAGGACCAAGGAATCAAAGAGCCAGTTACTGCCTAACAAAGGTTCAGGTGATTTTGGGATGAAGAGCAAGTGTGTGGTTATTCCTAGGACAGATGGAAATGTGAACTACTACTGTGAAATCTTTGAACATTGCCGAGTAGAGCTTGCTCATGCAGAAGATCAGAAGGCTCCAAAAATTGGTATACAAGATATCTTGTCAGGGAGAGTTGAACCTCATGGGAAATTTGATCTTGTGCTGTGGAGATCTCATTTGCCGCCTTATTACAGCTACATATATAGCTCCGAGATTCATGAGTTCAAGTCTGCAACTACCTGCAGGATTAGGCTCCGTCAGAAGAGAAAGATTTAGATCGAACTGTTTTGCCATGTATAAATGTAAAAATCTATTGTTATTACACTCAGTTGTATGGTTTTTCCATTAAAGTTCTTTTTTTTTCAAGTTTTCATTGTTTTGCAAAATCTCCACACTAGAGGACTTAGCCTCCTCATGTGAAAAGAAAATTTTGGTTGGACAAAGGAGAGGAAGCGTGCAACTTTTTATATGAAAACCATACGTCAACAATAATGTATGGTACCATCTAAAAAGGACCATAAAATCAATTTAAAAGCTAGCAAAGAATTTTGGATGTGGAATGAATAACGGGAAACTCGATTCCAGACTAAGGGTCTATTTTGCGGGGCTTCAGCTTGAGCTCAACCTATTATCGAACCAGGGGAAGTACATATTATCAAGAGCAATTTTATGGTCCTTGAGGAGGTACCATGAAGTATCATTTTTTCTATTATAAATTTGGTACCTCATGGTACCTAGGTACTATGAGGTACCATGAGGTACCAAAATTTGTAAATTTTGGTACCTCATGGTACCTCCTCAAGGACCGTAAAATTGCTCTATTATCAGAAGTGCTGAATCTGACTTTTTTTGTGCAAGTAGTTTAACCTTTTGAAATAACTAAAGGTATTCTCAAGAAGATTTTTCTGGCAATGTGATGAACATAAAAAGAAGTATAGGGTAGCAAAATGGAGTATTCTATGTAAGCCTAAGGAATATGGAGGGTTGGGGATTCAAAACTTAGACATTCAAAATAAGTGCCTATTAAGCAAATGGCTCTATAAATTGTTTAACGAGGGAAGCATGTGGCAAAATCTGTTCAAAAGGAAGTACTTAGCCAATTGAACAATCACTCAAGTGGAAAAGCGGTCTGGGGATTTACATTTTAGGGCCGGGCTTATGATGGTTAAGAAAGATTTTTTGCAACTAGGATCTATGGTAGTTGGACACGGAGAACAAGTGAGATTTTGGGAGGATCGCTGGGTGGGTGACTAACTCCTTTGATAAGTTATATCCCTCCCTCTATTTACTAACAATAAACAAGCATGCGAGAGTAAGCGATGTACTGGGCAATGTTCCTCTAAATGTGCCCTTTAGTAGAGCTTTGGTGGGGGATAACCTGAATGCGTGATACAAGCTGGTATGCTAAATGGTCTTGTTTAACTTATCTAATAGTCCAGATATTTTTAGATGGGAAGCCAATGGGAAGAGAGTCTTCCCGGTGAGTTCTATGTACAAGGCTCTTATGTACCATAATGTGGTACCAAGAAAGTCGATAATCTGGAAACTTAGAATTCCACTTAGGATTAAGATTTTCCTTTGGTATATCAAAGGAGTAGTCTTAACAAAAGACAATTTGGTTAAAAGGAGACGAAAAGGTAAGTGTTGCTTCTGTAACTCTGAAGAATCAATTGAACATCTGTTTTTTATTGTCATGTTGCACATTCAGTTTGGAATATTCTTTTCATGGTTATGGGAATACAAGTGCCTACTTCCGTTGCTAATCCTCTGGGTGGTTGGTCATGGGGATTAGTATCTAAGCTTAGGGATCAACTTTTCGTGGGAGTTGTGGCTATTTGTTGGGCACTTTAGGTTGCTAGGAATGATGTAGTCTTCAATGGCTCAACAATTAACTCTATATTGCAGATTATTTTCAGGGGGACACGCTGGGCTTGCTAGTGGTCTTTGCTTCTTAAAGAGAGTGACGAGAAAGCTGTTGGGTGCCAAAAATTGGAAGTTACCATTATGGAATTCTACTCAAAATCTGGGTGGAATTGGATAGGAAGATTGAATTGTTAGTTGAAATCTTTTGTTGTGAGACTTGTTCTAGATGTCTTTGTCGTCTATTTGTCTCCTATGATGGCGTTTGCTTTTAAACTTATTTGTAAGCCCAAGTGCTTGGTGATGTAATACTGTGGTTGTGTACATCCGACCTTCGGGATGTGGAGACCGGGTTTTATTTAATCCATTATTAAAAAACATTTTGAAAATCAGGGGTCGAAATGGAATCAGTGAGAGTCAATAGTGGCAAGTACTATATATATAATCAGATATAGTACAGTCGAATAATCATTTTATTTTGGAATGGGAGTGAGTACCACTTATACTGTCGACTCTAAAAAAAACATTTTTTTACTCCCTCCATCCCATAATATAACAACCTAGGAGGGGATGATATCTATCCTAGAACAATGTATCTAGACATGACATTATCCTAGGATGGATCTCATCCCATTCTAGGTTGCTACATTTTGGGATGGAGGTAGTACTCCCAAAAACTAACGAAATTAAAGTGTCGATTATTGATGGGGAATTTCTGAATTGCTTCATGGCCCTGTAACTTGGCCGGCGAGCTGCTATGTCGCCGACCGAATCTAGAGACGTTGGCGATAATGGCGGCGGCTGACGGCGATCCCTCCTCTACATCCATGTCTGCTCTCTATTCAGGTACTTAATTTTCAAGAATCTGTAGCATATTCTGAGAATATATTGATTTACCATTGAAGTGTGCACTGATCCCCAAAAGAAATTTCAGAGAAAGTGTCTAGATAGTCCAGAAATGTACCATAATTCTATCGTTGAAGAAATGTAGCTAGTCAGATGTATAAATAGGCAGAAATGGTAGTAGGGAAAGCATTTTCTGAAGAGCAATTTTACGGTCCTTGAGGAGGTACCATGAGGTACCAAAAATTTAGGAGATTTGCTCCGGTCCAGAAAAAGTACCTTGAGGTACCGGTACCTCACGGTACTAAATCGTTTGCGATCGTTGGGTCTAGCTGGGCAGGATGGGCATTGTTAGATCCAACGATCGGAAACGATTTGGTACCGTGGGGTATCGGTACCTCGAGTTATTTTTTGCTGGATCGGAGCAAATATCAAAATTTAGTGTAAAATTTGGTATCTTATAGTACCTAGGTAGCAAGAGATACCAAATTTACAATAGAAAAAGTGGTACCTTATGGTACCTCTTTAAGGACTGTAAAATTGCTTTTTCTGAATGTCGTTTTTGCTGGTCCTCACTCCTCAGTCAGACAAGTAGCAGCAAAAAAATTGACTCTAAATTAACAAAATGAAAAAAAACTTGAATTTTGGCCCAACAAAAAAAAAGAAAAAGAAGACTTAGAATTTGTACTGGGGCATAACAGGGGAATTTATTAACTTGTAATAGGATGGAAAATTTTTAACAGTTTAATGGAAAATTAATTTGGGACAACAGGCTTTTTCATTTTAACATGTTACATGCATTTATCATTTTTCAACAGTTTTAACATGTTGACATTCATAAAAAAAAAGTTTGAGATGCCTTATGTTCATGTTCATCAAGTCCTTTTTTTTCACAATTTTTCGCTGGTTCGGCAATAACTGGCCGGAATATACTAAGAGGTAAGAAAGAATTTACAGGTCTCAAAGCACGCCGAGAGGAAACGGCGTGCTATCACAACAAAAAAGAAAGAAACCCTCTATACACAACAACTATGGGGGAAAACCCTCGCACCCACTATACAACTCAAAGAGAGGTGGTCAAGCCCGCTTCTTACCACAATTTCCACTCATCCTCAATTGACGCACAAAGATTCACCGGTGAGACTGCGTGCCCCTCAAAGACACGAGCATTGCGTTCTTTCCAAATTAGCTAAGTCACCAAGATAACGCCCGCATCAAAACAAATATTTTTTTGTCACATTAGAAGGCTATTGTGTTGCCTAGTAGTAGTATGCAGAACTGGTCAACTAAAATATACACGTGTCTGTGAAACTTGACCAGAAATCTCTGATGCTGAACCAAATCTGTAAGAATTTACTCTACTTCTTTCATCATCTTCACAATATGGTCAGTCTTGTATGATTATATTAATCCAAACTGCAGAGAAAACCTGAAGCTTATATTCAAACGGTTCACACTGAAAAATAAATCTAGGTTGAGGTAAATCACAGTGCAATTCGTTTCCTTTTATGAAGACATGGAGCTGCTGGAATATGTGCCAGCCTCAATTCCTACTCTGCTTCACCAGATCCACTAAAAACTTTCAGACTACATACTTTCTCTCTGTCTCAGTTCTTGTCTCAAACTACAAAACTTGAGATTACATTGTTACATATGGAGACATTTCTGTCTGCCATTCTAGGTGATCTTGCCAGTAGATCCATATCTTTCCTGATCAACAAGTCCTCGAAACCGACAGCGCTAACCGTGGAGGAGAGACTGCAACGGCTGCTGCTCCGGGCCCGTATCATCCTGGAGGAGGCAGATGAACGGCTCATCACAAACCAATCCATGCTGCAGCAACTGAACATACTAAGGAAGGAGATGTACAGAGGATATTACACCCTTGACAGATTCAGATGCCATGTCCATGAAGCAGACCATACCAAAGATCACGAGGTGAGTAACCATGTTATACCATCCAAGTTCAATCCTGCCAAGCGCATCCGGTTCTGCAGGGTCAGTGGCAAGAGTTTAGAAGAGCAGCTGCAGCAAGTTTTTGGCAGCCTTGAGGTCACCATTGAAGATATGGGTGAGGTTGTCATGTTCTTGAACAGTTGTCCCCGTTTGTGCCGTCAGCCATATAGCATGCACTTGCTTCTAGACAAGTGCTTGTTGGGTCGCCAAATGGAAATGGAGCACATCATGAACTTCCTGCTCAAAGAAGATATTCCTGGTGATGAAAATACAGGAGTTCTGCCTATCATTGGCCCGTGGAGGGTTGGTAAGAGCACCCTGATTGAGCATGCCTGTGCCGATGAAAGGGTGCGTAACCGCTTTTTTCAGATTGTGCATTTCAGTGACGATGATCTTGAGGATGCAAATATGGTGACTCTGAGAGATTGTGGTGTAATCAAGCATCAAAACCGTGGTACTGGTGAAGAAAGACTACTGATTATTATCGAATTGAGCAGGGACATCGATGAGGCTGCATGGAGTAGATTGTACTCAGCTTCCAAAAGGTGTGTTGCAAAAGGCAGTAAGATTATAGTCGCAAGCCGATCTGATAAGATTGCGAGGTTTGGAACAACCCAAGCTCTTAGAGTAAAATACTTAACTCAAGAAGCTTACTGGTACTTTTTCAAGGTTCGCACATTTGGAAGCATAGATGCAGAGGAGCACCCAAAGTTGGCATCGATAGCCATGGATATGGCCAGGGAGATGAATGGGTGCTTCATGGGTTCAAGCATGTACAGTGTACTTCTGAAAGCAAATTTCAATGTTAGGTTTTGGAGCATGGCTCTGGCAGGAATCAGAGAATTCAAGCAGAAGAATCTCTTAGGATACGGTGCCAATATTGACTGTCCTTGGCACCCGGTTGAACCCACATACATTAGGATGATAAACAATGTTTCCTCTGAATATCTTGTGGTTCTTGGCGACTATCAGACATGTTCTGTTCAGGACATGGTAGATTATCACACAAACTTTCCTCAGAGTGAAGCTGCAGTTCCCATGGTGAGTTTGCAAGATTTTCTGTTTGGAAGTGTTAGACCTCAAGGAAAATTCAAGGTTCTCGCGTCAAGATCTCATCTTCCACCTCACTACAACTACATACTTAACTGTGAGGTATGGACTTCACATCATCTGATCACCAGGGAGGAGAGACCTCAGAAGCTTTGCACCTGACTATCTCAGATGTTGATGTATGATGTAATTATCTGAATCTGAATCTAAATCTGAGAAATTTTCAATTGTTTTTCACCCAGTGCATGAGCAAATGTGTTTACTTCAAGCTCCTATGTAAAATGTGCTGCTTTCAAGAGGCTTTCCTCAACGTTGCCCACGACGCACATGCAAGACACGTGAGCTAGCAAACAATTGTGGATGTGGAATGAATAACGGCAAACTCGATTATAGACTAAATGTTGAGCGACCATAATAGCATAATAGCAGGAAACACTTTTAAACTCTTGAGGGGATGTCCTCTCATTTGCTCAAACACCACTCAAATAGTTATTAAAAAAATCTCAAAAAATAACATTCATATGACATACATATATCACTTTAAAATAAAATTTAAACTTAAACTCAACTCACACATTGAGAAATGAAAAGGGCAAATTCAACATATGAACAATATAGTATTATTCATCCCATAATTTGTTTTTTTTCAATGTATAGATCAAGTTTGAAGTTGATTATTGGTGGAGCGATAGATGTTACTGTACTCTACATTGTCAAATTATTATTTACATTTTGTATAACCATTTACATGAACTTGAAAGAAAAAATATACAAAGGGACATCCCCGGATTAGATTCCACTCCCTGCAATAGCGAAGTGGCGAGATAGGAGCTCCATCGACGCGGATGGTTTATATGTGTTCTCTGGTGGGATCCGACTGAGGAGTGGTGAGGAATGTGATGATCGCAAGGATGGGCGCTGAGGATGAGGAGGAGCGTAGTGATGGTGTCGAGGTAGTCGGCACAAGTACTAGAACCTCTACACCTTGCCACTGCCCAGGGGCAGTGGCCACCTGCCCACCTCCACTCCCCCCTATTAAATATGTGATCCGAATTTTGGGCCCACAATATATTCGGATTAGTTTCCTAGTAGGAGTCCTATTAGGTGTCTTTCTATTATCCCTTATATATACTCTTGTAAGCCGTACGGGAAGGGGTGACGTTCCCATTGTTATTCCCCTACGTTTGTAATCAACTCCTCTATAGTGATCATTGCCGGTCGGCGCCCGTGGTTTTTTCCCGCGAGGGTTTTCCACGTAAAAATTCGTGTCTCCGTTGTGCATCTATTTTCATAACAAGTGGTATCAGAGCTTTGGAGATCGATCTACACGTCACGCAGCCGCCGCCGGTTCGTCGAGGCGCCGGATCGTCGAGTCGCCGGATCGATCTGATCGGCGTCATCCCTACAGCCCGCGCGAAATTAGGGCAGCAGCAGCCCAGGTCCTGGAATCGGCGCACGCGTCAGGAGATTGGCAAGCAGCAGCAGCAAGCCGTCTACGCGCACGTCCAGGAGTAGCAGCCGGCGTCAATACATCTACTAAATCGCACGGTTCCCGAGGCTGAAAAGGAAGTCAACGAGGGAAGCGATCAGGTTCCTGTTCACGTGATTTTCTATTCACGTGGAATTGCTACGCGCACACAAGCTTGTGTACCAGGAAGTTTCAGATCTACGCTACGTGCACACGAGAAGTGTACCGGGTTTCGCGTTTTTTTGCTAGATTTACCCTAATTTCTTTCTAGCAAATTCAGGATTAATTCCCATGGCGAGTTTGAAGTATGATCTACCGCTCCTGGACCAAGACACAAGATTCTCATTTTGGCAAGTGAAGATGCGAGCCGTTCTTGCACAACAAGACCTCGATGATGCGCTTTCTGGATTTGACAAGAGGACTCAGGATTGGTCCAACGATGAGAAGAAAAGGGATCGTAAGGCTATGTCATATATTCATCTTTATCTATCTAACAATATTTTGCAGGAGGTGCTTAAGGAGGAGACAACCGCTGGGCTGTGGTTGAAGCTGGAACAGATATGCATGACTAAGGATCTGACCAGTAAGATGCACCTGAAGCAAAAGTTATTTTTACACAAGTTGCAAGATGATGGGTCTGTAATGGACCATCTCTCTGCTTTCAAGGAAATTGTTGCTGACCTTGAGTCTATGGAGGTAAAGTATGATGAAGAGGATTTAGGCCTTATTCTATTGTGTTCATTGCCTAGCTCATATGCAAACTTCAGGGATACTATACTTTATAGCCATGATACTCTAACTTTGAAAGAAGTTTATGATGCTTTGCATGCCAAAGAAAAGATGAAGAAGATGGTACCCTTTGAAGGTTCAAATTCACAAGCAGAAGGCTTGGTTGTTCGGGGCAGGCAACAGGAGAAGAACACAAACAGCAAATCAAGAGATAAAAGTTCAAGTAGCTACCATGGAAGATCAAAGTCCAGAGGCAGGTATAAGTCATGCAAATACTGCAAGAGAGATGGACATGATATATCTGAGTGTTGGAAGCTACAGGACAAAGACAAGAGAACCGGAAAATATGTACCAAAAGGTAAGAAAGAAGAGGAAGGTAAAGCCGCAGTTGTTACTGATGAGAAATCTGATGCAGAATTGCTTGTTGCTTATGTTGGTTGTGCACAAACTAGTGACCAGTGGATTCTTAATACTGCATGCACCTATCACATGTGCCCAAATAGGGATTGGTTTGCCACCTATGAAGCTGTTCAAGGTGGTACTGTTTTGATGGGTGATGATACACCATGCGAGGTTGCAGGTATTGGAACAGTTCAGATCAAGATGTTTGATGGCTGTATCAGAACATTGTCAGATGTGCGGCATATTCCAAATTTGAAGAGAAGTCTCATCTCTTTATGTACTCTTGATGGCAAAGGGTACAAATATTCCGGTGGAGACGGAATTTTGAAGGTAACTAAAGGCTCTCTTGTTGTGATGAAAGCTGATATTAAATCTGCCAACCTGTACCATCTGCGAGGTACAACTATATTAGGTAATGTTGCTGCAGTTTCTGATTCATTATCTAATTCCGATGCTACTAATCTTTGGCATATGCGTCTTGGGCATACGAGTGAAATTGGTTTGGCAGAATTGAGCAAGCGAAGATTGCTAGATGGACAAAGCATCGGGAAGCTCAAATTTTATGAGCATTGCATATTTGGCAAGCATAAGAGGGTGAAGTTCAATACATCTACACATACTACTGAAGGTATTCTTGATTATGGGCATTCTGATTTATGGGGGCCTGCTCGTAAGACATCTTTTGGAGGTGCTCGTTACATGATGACTATCGTTGATGATTATTCGCGAAAAGTTTGGCCTTATTTCTTGAAGCACAAATATCAAGCTTTTGATGTGTTTAAGGAGTGGAAAACTATGGTTGAATGACAAACTGAAAGGAAGGTGAAAATCCTTCGTACTAACAATGGGATGGAGTTCTGTTCTAAGATATTTAAATCATATTGCAAGTCTGAAGGCATTGTGCGTCACTACACCGTTCCTCACACACCTCAACAAAACGGCGTAGCTGAGCGTATGAACAGGACAATTATATCAAAGGCCCGTTGTATGTTGTCTAATGCAGGTTTGCCTAAACAGTTTTAGGCGGAAGCCGTTTCCACTGCTTGTTATCTTATCAATCGATTACCCAGTTATGCCATTGATAAGAAGACTCCAATTGAGGTATGGTCTGGTTCCCCAGCAAATTATTCAGACTTAAGAGTATTTGGTTGTACTGCTTATGCTCATGTTGATAATGGTAAATTGGAGCCTAGAGCTATTAAGTGCATTTTTCTTGGTTATCCGTCTGGTGTAAAAGGCTATAAGTTATGGTGTCCTGAAACAAAAAAGGTTGTGATTAGTAGAAACGTTGTCTTCCATGAATCAGTTATGTTACATGACAAACCTTCTACTAATGTTCCTGTTGAGAGTCAGGAGAAAGCAAGTGTGCAGGTGGAGCATTTGATCAGTTCAGGACATGCACCAGAAAACGAATTTGTTGCTATTAACTAAGATGCACCTGTTATTGAAGATTCAGATTCTTCTATTGTTCATCAATCTCCAAAACGTTCTATTGCAAAAGATAAGCCCAAAAGAAATATTAAACCTCCTCCAAGATATATTGAAGAAGCGAACATAGTTGCTTATGCTTTGAGTGTGGCAGAAGAAATTGAAGGTAATGCCGAACCTTCTACATATTCTGAGGCTATTGTTTCTGATGATTGCAATAGATGGATAACTGCTATGCATGATGAGATGGAGTCACTTGAAAAGAATCATACTTGGGAATTGGTGAAGTTGCCAAAGGAGAAGAAACCTATCCATTGCAAGTGGATCTTCAAAAGAAAGGAATGTATGTCTCCAAGTGATGAGGCAAGATACAAAGCAAGGCTAGTTGCTAAAGGTTATAGCCAGATTCCAGGTATTGATTTCAATGATGTCTTTTCCCCTGTTGTGAAGCATAGTTCAATTCGCACTTTACTTAGTATTGTTGCAATGCATGATTATGAACTAGAGCAAATGGATGTTAAGACTGCATTTTTACATGGGGAGTTAGAAGAGGACATTTATATAGAGCAACCTGAAGGTTTTGTTGTTTCTGGAAAAGAGAACCTAGTCTGTAGGTTGAAGAAATCTCTTTATGGGTTGAAGCAGTCACCTAGACAATGGTATAAGAGATTTGACTCTTTCATGCTTTCTCAGAAGTTTAGAAGATCCAATTATGATAGCTGTGTTTATCTTAAAGTTGTTGATGATTTAGCTATATATTTGCTTCTTTATATCGATGATATGTTGATTGCTGCAAAAGACAAATAAGAGATAACAAAATTGAAGGCACAATTGAGTAGTGAATTTGAGATGAAGGATTTGGGTGCAGCGAAGAAAATTCTCGATATGGAAATTACTAGAGAAAGACATTCTGGCAAGTTATATCTTAGTCAGAAAGGTTATATTGAAAAAGTTCTTCATCGTTTCAATATGCATGACGCAAAACTAGTGAGTACTCCTTTAGCTGCACATTTCAGATTATCTTCAGATTTATGTCCACAGTCAGATTATGATATTGAGTACATGTCTAGAGTTCCTTATTCAAGTGCAGTTGGTTCACTTATGTATGCCATGGTATGTTCTCGTCCTGACTTATCACATGCATTGAGTGTTGTCAGTAGATACATGGCTAATCCTGGCAAAGAGCATTGGAAAGCTGTTCAATGGATTTTCAGATACCTACGTGGTACATCTAGTGCTTGTTTGCAGTTTGGGAGATCTAGAGATGGACTTGTTGGTTATGTGGATTCAGATTTTGCTGGAAATTTGGATAGAAGAAGATCGCTCACAGGTTATGTTTTCACTATTGGAGGATGTGCTGTTAGTTGGAAGGCAAGTTTATAAGCAACTGTTGCCTTATCTACTACTGAAGCAGAGTACATGGCTATTTCTGAAGCTTGTAAAGAAGCTATTTGGCTTAGAGGTTTGTACACTGAGCTTTGTGGAGTTACGTCTTGCATTAATATATTTTGTGATAGTCAAAGTGCAATATGCCTACAAAGGATCAGATGTTCCATGAGAGAACAAAGCACATTGATGTGAGATATCACTTTATTCGAGGTGTGATTGCTGAAGGTGATGTCAAGGTATGCAAGATAAGTACTCATGATAACCCAGTTGATATGATGACAAAGCCAGTTCCTGCTACTAAGTTTGAGCTTTGCTCAAGCTTGGTGGGTGTTACAGTATAGTCCTAGAGACTATTTGGCGCGCGGTGATTTTACCTACATGAGGTATTTTTGGTGATTGATGTTTTTATGCTACAAGAGGAAATTCGTCTCAAGGTGGATATTGTTAAATATGTGATCCGAATTTTGGGCCCACAATATATTCGAATTAGTTTCCTAGTAGGAGCCTGTTAACGACCAAATTTGGTAATATCAGTATTGGAGATGAAAATGAAATCGAAGTAGAATCGAAGATAAGGGTTTTTTCGGAAACAGAGTAATAATCGGCTGGAGTCCGGATCGGCTACGACTGGGATCGGCTAAGTCTGAGTCGGACTGGTTAAGTGATACAGCCGATTCCGACAATACGACCCGTATGCGACATTGGGTTCGAGTTGATGTGCTTCAAGATGATTGCCACGCATGGATAGAGTCCTGGGAAGGCAATTGTATCTATTAATTAGGATATTTTATGTAAATTCCTTAGAGATAAATGTGAGCAAAAGTCTGCCGCAAAGACTTGTGGTATCTTAGAGTTTGTTAGAGATAAGAGTCGTGTCCAATATGGACATATCTTGTATTTCTCGGGTATAAATAGACCCCGAGCCCTATGTAATGATTAACACACACGTTCAATACAATTTCGGCGCATCGCCACTCTTTTTGCTTTCGTTTTATTTCGACGAGTTATTGCTTTCGGGTTGAGCTGCATCGGTTTCGATCTTCAACAAGAGGTAAACTTGTTATGGCGGCTTGTGTTCTCGAGATTAGTGCTTCCATCTTTATGATACTCTAATCTTGTTTATGTAGTCCGTCAAATTATCATATATCTTGCATAATCCTTGACAATATCGTCATTTAACCTACAATCGGCTAACATCTGCTACCAGAAGGCAGCCGATTAGGTTAAATAACGACGTTGGCTTAGATTATATGAGATATCCACCACTCTATGAAACATCCAGCGGCTTGATCGTCTAGATATTGTTCTTCTTTTCATACTTAATGCTGTATCAGTTGAGTTTGATCTATTAAGCCGTGCTTAGAATTTCAATCTCTAGCCTGCCTACTGGTTGCCGATTAGGGTAGTATCGGAGTTTCAGCCGATCTTATCTGATCCAATTGCTTTTGTTCTACATGCTCAATTAACATGTTAGATCTGTCCTTCATGTTAAGATCTTGTTGCATTTAAGTATATTAGATTTCTGTTTAGTATATTCTATTTGCTTTAATATCTTAATATAAAGTAGTATCGGAGTATTAGCCGATACACGCTAGATCTATCTGATCAGCTATGCTATGAATATATATATATAATCTCATTATTAATATATATTTCGATCTAAGTGATTTATACTGTCTCGGCAAGGTGACCGATCTATCCCAATCACTTGATTCAATTATATATCGATATAAGGATTATGTATCATTGATATTTGCAGCCGATCGAGTAGATTTAGTTCTGATTTGTTTTCTTAACAATTGCCGATCGATTTACATATGACATCGGCTCAAAGATAAATGACATGTCATCGGCATTTAGCCGATCGGCTATCATTTATGGATTTAATTACGGTTTCTTTGTCTTTGTTTCTTGTTGATTGCAGGATCAAATCAACTGGCACGCTCATACATCCGAAGGCGAGTTTTGGACATGCACTGGAGTTAAGCAGATCTCCCAGGCCCTGTGTTTTCTATCAACAGAGTCCTATTAGGTGTCTTTCTATTATCCCGTATATATACTCTTGTAAGCCGTATGGGAAGGGGTGACGTTCCCATTGTTATTCCCCTACGTTTGTAATAAACTCCTCTATAGTGATCATTACCGGTCGGCGCCCGTGGTTTTTTCCCGCAAGGGTTTTCCACGTAAAAATTCGTGTCTCCGTTGTGCATCTATTTTCGTAACACCCCCCACGTATGAATCTGGCTGGGAGGAGACCAGCGCGCAATGGTTGTGGGTAGGAAAAATACGTTACGCAAAATATTGGTTCAAGTACGTCTCGTACATACATATATAATGGCATAATTTAAATTTTACAAAATACTTATGACACTGAGCCAATTTGATAAATAATAATATCATTTTTCCAATATGACAAATTTGTAATAGGAGATTTAATTAACCCTATCATTCATCCAACCGTATCAAATGGGCACTATTTTTTTTAGCCAGCCCAGCCTAAAACAAACAGGTGGACCAAATTTACTTAATAAAAAGGTATGTACACATTCACAAAGTTCAAATTTAGACAAGAGACTGCTGAAGTGAATGATTGATGTTGTCCCATAAGCAACTTCCGAAAAGAAAAACAAGCTACAGCAAGACGCTACTCTCCTAAATCTTTAAAAACCCCCAGCTTCTTTTCAGATCACGACCTACTCTTTAATCAAGGCAAAGAGGATGCCCGCCACTCGGCTCTAACTCTGGAACACACGCACATCTCTTTTTCGGGAATACGCTAGATGCGTATTTTTGCATTAAGAGGAATAAAACAGTTCTTTACAAACACACGCGCATCTCTCTCCTTCCAAACCATCCCGCAGATTAGCAGCACAAGAGTGTCGAAAGCGCCCTGTAGCTGGTCCTTCCAAACATCAAGGCAAAGGCACTGTTATTTTCTCAAATATATCTTTTAAAAATCTTTTTTCTCTTTATTTTTAACTCTACCAAGGAAGTTAATTAATTACCAAGGACAAAGGTTACGATATTTAAAGCTTTTGGGTTCAAGTCGCTGGTGGCTGGATGACTGGATGGATCCCCACTCTCCAGCAATGGCGGCAAGGTTGTACTTCCCCTATCCTAGCAGCGATGACGTCCGCCACGAAGTGAGAAGGAAGCCGAGCGCGGCCGGCGATGGAGCGGCCAAGGAAGCCGGCGGCGACAGCTGCGGCGCCGGCCGGATCTGGAGACGTCGGCGGCAGCGGCGGCTCGGGTTCTTCCTGCAATGGCGGCGACTGACAGCAACGTTCTGTCTGCTTCTTTCGATCCAGGTAACTCAAATTTCAAGGATCTGTAGCCATATTTCTCAGAATACTTCAATTCTCCATATAAGCGTATTGATCCCCAAAAGGAATTTCAGAAAAAAAAAAGTGGTTAGCTTGTCAGCTGATTCCTTGCACATCCATCAACCATGGTAGGAAAACATTTTCTGAATGTTTCCTCCCTGTCCATGACATTTTCACTAGTGTTGCAGTCAGACAAGTTGAAAATAAAAGTTGACTTGGAATTAACTAGAAGCAAAGCCTTGAATTTTGACCCAGAGAAAAAAAAAACAAGGACTATCCATGCCAGCTGCACCACAAGCACTTCTCAAATTTCAACAGTTTTAACATGTTGAGTTTCATAATGAAGAAGTTTGCCATTTCTTTTGTTCATGTTCGTCAGGTCCTTTCTTTTTGTCACATTTGTAGAAATAGAAGGCCATTGCAGTGTCTAGAACGCGGAATTGGTCAACTAAAAATTCATGTGACTGTGAAACTTGACGAGAAACCAGTGGTGCTGAACCAATCTGTAGAACTTTCTTTACTGCTTTCATCGTCACCGCTATGTGGACAGTCTTGTATGGTTATTATATTGTTGCAAAATGTACAAAACAGATACTTGAATCCAAACGGTTCACATTAAAAAGCATATCTAGGTTGGGATACTGGACTATGTGGAGCATTCAAAGTGTGTTTTTGTAAACCACAGTATAAGAGTATGTGGCAGCCTTAATTCCTACTCTGCTTCACCTGATCCTTTAAAATTTTTCAGACTACATAATTTCTCTCAGATCCCAGTTCTTGCTGATCTATTGAGAGGTCTACAAAATTTCAGACTACATACTTACACATGGAGACATTTCTGTCTGCAATTCTGAGTGATCTTACCAGTAGATCCATATCTTTCCTTGTCAACAAGTGCTCAAAACCAACAACTCCAACTGTGGAGGAGAGACTACAACAGTTGCTGCTCCGGGCACGTGTAATCGTAGAGGAGGCAGATGAACGGTTCATCACAAACCAAGCCATGCTGCAGAAACTGAACATACTAAGGAAGGAGATGTACAGAGGGTATTACACACTCATCTGCTTCAGATGCCATAACAATGAAGAAGACAATGTCAAAGATCGTGAGGTGAGTTACTATTTTACACCTTCCAAGTTAAATCCTGCCAAGCGTGTCCGATTCTGCACGGGCAGTGGCCAGACTTTACGAGATCAGCTGCAGCAAGTTCTTGGCAGCCTACAAGTCACCCTTGAAGATATGCGCGAGTTTCTCATGTTCTTCAACAGTTGTCCTCATTTATGCCGACAGCCATATAGCATGCACTTGCTTTTAGACAGGTGCTTGTTCGGTCGTCAAATGGAAACGGAGCACATCATGAACTTCCTGCTCAAAGAGGACATTCCCAGTGCTGAAAATCTAGGTGTCCTGCCGATCATTGGCCCAGGAAAAGTTGGGAAGAGCACCCTGATTGAGCATGCCTGCGAAGATGAAAGAGTGCGTAACCGCTTCTCTCAAATTGTGTGTTTTAACGACGATGATGTAGGACATGCAAACATGGTGGCTCTTAGAGATTGTGGTGTAATTAAGCATAAAAACCATTCTATTGGTGGAGACAGGATGCTAATCATTATCGAATTAATGGGAGACATTGATGAGGGTGTATGGGGAAGATTGTACTCAGCTTCCAAAATTAGTGTTGCAGTTGGAAGTAAAATTATAGTCACAAGCCGATCTGATAAGATTGTAAGCTTTGGAACGACACAAGTTCTCAGAGTAAATTTCTTTACTCAAGAAGCTTATTGGTACTTTTTCAAGGTGCGCACATTTGGAAGCTTGGATGCAGAGGAGCACCCAAAGCTGGCATCATTAGCCATGGATATCGCCAGGGAGATGAACCAGTGCTTCATGGGTTCATGCATCTACAGTGTGCTTCTGAAAGCAAACTTTAATGCTCGGTTTTGGAGCATGGCGCTGGCAAGAATCAGAGAATTCAAGCTGAAGAACAACTTAATATACAACGCGTATCTTGTTGGTGGTCCTTGGGAGGCGGTTAAACCTGCATATGTTCGGACGGTAAACAAAATTTCCTCTGAATATCTTGTGGTTCTTCACGACTATCAGACACTCTCTGTTCCAAACATGGTCCATTGTTACACAAACTCTGCTCAGAGTGAAGGTGAAGTCCCCGAGGTCAGTATGCAAGATTTTCTCTTCGGAAGTGTTAAGCCTCAAGGAAAATTCAAGGTTCTCGCATGGAGATCTCACCTTCCACCTCACTACAACTACATTTTCAACTGTGAGGTACGGAGGCCACATCATATGGTCACCAGTAAGAAGAGATCTCATAAGCTTTGCACCTGACCATCTCAGATAGTAATCCATATTGTTAGGTTGTGGTACCTTTTAGTATCTAAGCTACGAGATCTTGTTATTGTCTGAAACTGTTGTATAAATATGAGCATCTGTGTACATCCAAGCTCCTATGTAAATGTGATATTTTCATGAGGTTGCCAAACTCAATTTGTCAGCATTAATTAACTTCTTTTAACAAGAGAAGAAACCTGCTCCCACTTCTATAATGTGATTTGTGTCCTTTCCTGTTTCACGAGAAGAAAAAAATCGTCGGGACTCGGGAGAGCCGCGAGAGATGGCGTGGCGTCGAGGCCGCGAGAGATGGCGTGGCGTCGAGACCGCGAGAGGCAGGAGCAGCCAGATGCGCGGCGGGCTCGATGCGCGACGGCGGCGGGCTACTGGTTACGCGACGGCGGCGGCGGGTGTCGTTCGGGCAGAGTTAGTGATCTCCAAGGTAGACGACCTCATGAACTGGGCGCGGAGGGGGTCGATCTGGCCTACTGCGCCGTCGAGATGATGCACGCCGGCGCGTCCTGCTATGACTTCGACCGCTTTCGCGTCATCTTCCGCCCATCCCCGCGACAGTCCGACTGCATGATCATCGTCGGGACGCTCACCAACAAGATGGGGCCCGCGCTCGGCAAGTCAGTACCATCTTCCTCCCCTCGGCTGCTCAGATTTGGCGTTCCTGTGCTCCGAGCTGGGAATTTGGTGTTCCCCTGCTTTTAGATCTTGGAAATTATCTTGCTAGGGTGAAATAAGACTCAATAGCAAATGTGATGTCATTCTATAGAGCCTTAATACCCACCTTTAATGTCATTTGGAAACTTGCCACAAATTCGAGACGAGCACCAATGTTCTGAATGACTGGACAGGACAAATGGGATAGTGCGGTGAATCGTCGGCGGCGGCGGCCTCGACGCTCGACGACGGCGGTGGCCTCGACGCTCGACGGCGGCGGCTGGATACGCAACAGCAGCGGTGGGCTCGATGCGTGGCGGCGGCGGCAGGCTCGATGGGAGACGACGGCGGCGGCCTCGACGCGCGACGGCGGCAACCTCGATGCGCGACGGCGGCAGCGATTTCTGACCTGGAAGAGAGGATGCGGCGATTTCTGACCTAGAAGAGAGATCTTATTTTTGTTAGCCCCATCATGCCCCAACTAAATCAACGGTTAGATTAGATTGGTACCTCATAGTACCTCATCAAGGATGGGAAAAATGCTCATAATTTATTGTTCAAGAAACATAGATAGTCAGCTATTGAAGGACATAACAACCGCTGTAGGGGATCATTTTCTGAATGTTTTTTGCTAGTTAAAAGAAATAGAAGCTAAAACTTGACCCTTATCAAAAGAGACAAAAGAAGAAAACCATTTTCTGAATGTTTATTCCTTTTCTAACCTGTCGCTGTTGTAGCATTGGCTAGCATGCGAACTGGTCAACTAAAATGCATGTGCTTTTGAAACTTGACGAGAATTCCATGGCGCTGAACCAAACCTGTAGAATCGTCTCCGCTATGTAGTCAACCTTGTACGGTTATATTATTGGAACTGCAAAGAAAAAACAGAAATTAGGATCCAAACAGTTCACACTGAAAAGTATGGTTTGAAATAAATTCTAGATATACATGTAACTTTGTATATGTAACCACAGGGCAATACCTTTCGCTTTATGGAGACTTGGAGTTAGTAGAGTACGTGGCTGCCTTAATTCAGATCATATCCCCTCTTTGTATATGTAACCAGTGCAATACCCTCTATAAACATTCAGATTGTGTTTTCTCAGGTACCAGCTCTTCACCACTTGAGTGATTTACAAAATTTCAGATCATATCTTTGCTGATCATATGAGAAGTAGACATGGAGACATTTTTGTCCGTGATTCTGAGTGATCTTGCCAGTAGATCCATATCTTTGCTGATCAACAAGTGCTCAAAGCCAACATTACCATCCGTGGAGGAGAGACTGCAACGACTGCTGCTCCGGGTTCGTATCATTGTGGAGGAGGCAGAGGGACGGCTTATCACAAACCAAGCCATGCTGCAGCAACTGAACATGCTAAGGAAGGAGATGTACAGAGGGTATTACACCCTCGGCAACTTCATATGCCATGGCCATGAAGAAGACAATGCCAAAGATCATGAGGTGAGTAACTATTTTAAACCATCCAAGTTAAATCCTGCCAAGCGCATCCGATACTTGTGGGATGGTGGCCAGACCTTGCAAGATCAGCTGCAGCAAGTTCTTGGCAGACTACAAGTCACCCTCGAAGATATGCGCGAGTTTGTCATATTCTTGAACTTTTGTCCTCGTTTGTGCCGGCAGCCATATAGCATGCACTTGCTTATAGACAAGTGTTTGTTCGGTCGCCAAATGGAGATGGAGCACATCATGAACTTCCTGCTCAAAGAGGATACTCCCGGTGCTGAAAATCCAGGTGTCCTACCGATCATTGGCCCCGGGAAAGTTGGGAAGACCACCCTGATTGCGCATGCTTGTGATGATGAAAGGGTCCGTAATCACTTCTCTCAAATTGTGTGTTTCAGTGAGGATGATCTTGAAGATGCAAGCATGGAGACTCTTAGAGATTCTGGTGTAATCAAGCATCAAAACAATGCCACTGGTGGCAAAATGATATTAATCATCATCGAACTAACCAGAGACATCGATGAGGGTGTGTGGAGAAGGTTGTACTCAGTTTGCAAATGTTGTGTTGCAAATGGCAGTAAAATTATAGTCTCAAGCCGATCTAATAAGATTGCGTGCTTTGGAACGACACAAGCTCTTCGAGTAAAGTTCTTTACTCAAGAAGCTTACTGGTACTTCTTCAAACTGCGCGCGTTTGGAAGCATGGATGCAGAGGAGCACCCAAAGCTGGAATCAATAGCGATGGAGATAGCAAGGGAATGGAATGGGTGCTTCATGTCTTCAGGCATCTACAATGAACTTCTAAAAGCAAATTTCAACACTCGGTTTTGGAGCACGGTTCTAACAAGAATCAGAGAATTCAGGAAGTTGAATATCTCACTCTATGCAAATTTTGATGGTCCTTGGGAGGTGGTTGAATCGGCATATGTTAGGAGGGTAAACGGAATTTCCTCTGAATATATTCTGATTCTTCATGATTATCAGACATGTTCTGTTCCAAACATGCTCCATCGTTGTACAAACTCTGCTCAGAGTGAAGTTGAAGTTCCCCAGTTGAGTTTCGAAGATTTTCAATTTGGAAATGTTAGGCCTCAAGGAAAATTCAAGGTTCTCGGCTGGAGATCTCACCTTCCACCTTACCACGACTACATGTTCAGCTGTGAGGTACTGAAGTCGCAGCATATAGTTGCAAGAAATAAGCGACCTCGGGAACTTTGCGGACGCGACTTCGGATTGGGTGCCTGATTTTTTAGCTAAAAATCGGGCACCCGCCTCATCCTCCGTCACTCTGTCAGCTAGCTGCTACAGAGACATGGTGTAGCTGCAGCCTGTAAAGCCTACTAGAAATTAACCAAGTCACTACTAGTACATGCATGCGTTTAGTAAAAAAGAAAATATGGTTAGTTGAGTTGGTATAAGTTTTTTTTAGTAATATTTGAACTATCCTTTTCTCTTAAATAACTTCTTCAATCTACAATTTGATTGCACTATTAAATTCATTGCAATTAAATATTTAGAACAAGACCACACATTGTTATATTTCGATGAAAAGAATATTTAGCTTTTTTGATGGATATTTTTCAATGTTGCACATGTTTTATGTGTATGTTTCAACTAGTATTCGTATGATATTTCACTAGTTAATTTGTAAATATTGCACGCGGTGTTCCAGGAAAGTTTTGGCAAGTATTTTATATTATTTCAATAGTTACAGCTTAATATTCGTAATAATACAAAATATTTCAACAATATCATTTTTTTCAAATATATTGTATCTCTCATATGACTTTTTTGTTTCGCTTCTTGGTACTCAATGTTCCATATAGGGGTGAAAACGGTACGAAAACTTTTCGGATTCTGGACCTATTTTCGAAAACGGAATCTGTCGGTCGGAATTTTTCGAAAACGGAAACGAATTCGGAAATATTTTCTCGGAAACGGAATCGGAAATGCTAAGGGCGGTTTCCGTCGGAACTCGGAATTGGTCGGAAACTTTCCGGAAATTTTCTCAGAATTTCTGGAAATTTTCTCGGAATTACCAAAAATTTTGTGATTGAAATACCCTGGATTCTTTTTTTAAGCAATAAATAGTGAATACCATGGTGTTTGGCTGTTGTTTTTTTTTAAATATTTGTTATGCAAATCTAAAATTACATAAGAATATTTTTTGTTCTACATTGGAATTTATCAACAACATTACTCTTTTAAACATAGATAATTTATTCAATTGGATTTATCAGTTTGAGGGGTTTTTTATTCCGATAAATTTTCATTACCGTATTCGCGCCGGTTCGTTTTCGCTCCGTTTTCGGTTTCGATAATATTCGATTATGTTTTCGTATCCGAGGTTTCCGATTCTAAAAAGAAATATGAAAAGGAAAACGATAAAGATGGTTTCCGTCCGTTTCCGTACCCCTAGTTCTATATAGGTGGTTATTGGTGTTGCAGTTGGTATTTTTAAATGTTGCATTTCTCTTGAACACTACTGAAACAATTTTCTTCAAGGGGTGAAACAACATTTGAATTTTTACTAAAATATAATCATGTGATATCTTACTATAAAGATTTAATTATAAACAATACAACGGTATTATCGGATCGTAGAACGGACCATTATTTTAGGAGAGAAAAAAATGAAGAAGAGAGAAAAATGCGCAAAATGATATATCAAAAATTTACATGAACATGCATGGCTAGACATGACATGACATGCATGTGAAGAGAACTCTGCATAACAAAATAAGAGAAGTGATGAGAGGGAAGTTATATTCAAAGGCAGAGTGGTGCACGGGTGGGGCGGGGCGGGGCGGGGTGGGCGCCTGATTTTTAGATCGTTGATCGAGTGTCCGGCTCAAGGCATTGCCCAAACTTTGCACTTAACCATCTGTTAGCAACTTTTTTTTTTACAAGAAGACAATCACGAATAGGACACTTAAACGTCTTGCGGTGATATGGATTTACAAACCACCTCGATTTAGACGAAGCTAAACCATGATGGGTTTTGTAAAACTAAACCGGCTAGCGGAGCTGATTTAGATATCAAAATTAGCCTCTAGAATGATTTAGATTGATATGGAGATAATTAACCACCCGTCGTAGGCGAATAGGGAAATAGATGTGTACACAAGATAGCTAACTGATATTCCCTGTTCTCCTCGTTTGCAGGTAGCAAAAGTTCCAAAATATTGGTTAGCCGATACAATGCAATGGCAGAGCAGCTATGCCAGCTCTTATTCTTCAAACTCCGCCTAGTAGGTCGCCCAACTGGTTGCGAGAATAAGATTTAGCGTTTTCTAGTCACCCTCCTGTACCTCGTCCCCCTCTCTTTTTCGTTTCCGATGTGCATAAACTTTATTCCTCTTAATACAATGATGCGCTCCTTGCGTATTCCCAAAAACAATGCAATGGCTTTGATTGAATTTTGTTTTTTGTTTCAATGGATGTACGCAACAGAGAGCAACCACGTACTGATGGGTAGGCTTCCTAGTTGGCTTGTATATGCCGATCAACGTACGTTGAATCGGCTCCTAGTTTTTCTGGATCGGCCAAAATAGGAACACAAGAGCGAAACGGCAAGCGCTGAAGTCCTGATGGCCTTGACGAATTGATCGATGTCCGTATCTATCTATGCAGCGTCGTCACGCGGCTGCAGATATATAGGAAAAATACTCAGCGACGGCGGCTTTCCTCGGACTCACTCACGGTGTTGATCTATTCCTGTAAACTCACCTTGATTTGATTTTCTTTAATTTTTGGCAGCAGATCGAGAGCAATCCGATTGCTGTTGCGGATGACCGGACAGTGTGGCTGCCGAATACATTGATCCAGTGTGTAATACGTAGACGGCGGCAGTGAATGTATGTGGATTGATTTCGGTCGGATATATAGCCGAAATTTTTTTTACGTTTCCTAGCATAGTCACAAAAAATCGTGTTGGTAACTTTCTTATAGCAAGAAGACAATTACGATCGGGACACCTAAACATCTTGCGGTCGCCAACCACCTTGATACAAAACTAAACTGGCTAGCGGAGCTGATTTAGATATCAAAATTAGCCTCTAGACTGATTTACCGTCTCGTGGATGAATCGGAAGGTTTACGGGATAAACCTACAAAGAGATATCGCACCCTTGCAGTGAAGTCGGATGATTTGTGGCGCAAATCAACAAAGATGGATGAACTATTGTTAGGTAGAAAATAAAGTAGAAAGCATGGCTGAAAAGTAAAGGTAAAAGAACAATTCGATAGATTATAGGGATTGTGGTTTGGGGGTTAGAATCGAACCGACCATAGCCCTTATAAAGGGGTCGGTCCTGTTACAAGACCCTTTCCATGTTTTATTGAGGATAGTGACCAATTAGAACTCAAAAAATACCTTCTCAAGTAAGGGAACTCGAGACCCGGCGAAATTGAACTCGGAGTCAGACTCACCCGATCTGACCGACCACATGCCACCAGTCAGACCGGTCCCACATCACCGGTTTGACCGGCTCTACGGTGGCGGTCATACTAGCCCCATAAAGGAAACCAGGTCCTTTTTAAATTCGGCCATATTTTTCTATTTATGTTCGAGGTGTCAAATTTTGGTGTTAACACCATCTTGTTGTTTTCCGAAGATTTGCACCTGTTTATCTGAGAAGCTGCTGTATAATGTAATTATCTTAAACTGTAATAGTTCTGAGCATTTTTTAAATATTTTCACCTACTGTCTGACTGTCTGAGCGAATGAGTACTCCAATCTGTTATGTAAATGTGCTGTTTATGAGAGGCCATCAAACTCAATTCGTCAGCATATCGTATTATCTTTCATTAGTTGAAGCTTGAACGTGTCAAATGCGCAAGACGTCAGGACATGCAGAACACCATGAGAACTGACATCAACTAATTGATTCTATGTAATTTGTTATCCCCTGCCAATTTTGACTTCTGATCACTCATTGCTTGTTGTTAGTTGTTACAACTTGTACTCCTAATCCTAATCCTAATTGAAAGATAATACAAAAACTTGTTTTGGCACAATCAGAAGTTTCAGATCACATAATATAAGTTATACTTCTAGCTAGAGGTAACTCATTCCATTGCAGAACCATTCTGCAAGGTTTTCTCCAGCCAACATGGAGGCAACCATTTCTGTCATCCTGACTGAACTTGCAGGTAGATCCATATCTTTCCTTGTAAGCAAATACCTGAATCAGCAAAAGCCGGCTCCAAGCGACGATGAAAGATTGGAGAACCTGCAAAGGCTGCTGCTGCGGTTTCGCATCATCGTCGACGAGGCGGAAGAACGGTGCATCACCAACCAAGCCATGCTGGAGCAGCTGAGCATCCTGAGGAAGGAGATGTTCAGAGGCTACTACACCCTGGACACCTTCAGGTGCAGAGCTCATCAAGGCAAGGATCATCATGGTGAAGTGAGTCCATCTTTTGCCATCTCTAAATTCAGTCATGCCAAGCGTATCCGTTTCTGCAGTGACAGTAGCAGTCAGAGTTTGGGTGAGCTGCAGAGAGTTCTTGGGGACCTGGAGAACACCATTGCTGATGCTACTGAGTTCATTGCATTCTTAAGCAGTTGCCCTCGCCTTCATCGTCAGCCGTATAGCATGTACTTGATCTTGGACCAGTGCATGTTTGGGCGCCAGACGGAGATGGAATATCTCATCAATTTTCTCCTACAACCTGGGAATCATAGCACACTAGAACCAGGAGTTCTACCGATTATTGGTCCAGGGAGAGTTGGGAAGAGTACTCTTGTCGAGCATGCCTGCAACGATGAAAGGGTGCGCAATCATTTCTCGCAAATTGTGTTCTTCACTCGAGCCGATCTTGAAGATGAAAGCATTGTGGATCTTAGAGATGGCGGTGTAATCAAACATCGAAACCGTGCCTCGGGTGTAGGAAGGGTGTTGGTCATTGTTGAACTAGATGGGGATAGGTATTCAGAAGGACTAGATAAAAATATCGATGGGGTTTTATTGGAAAGACTATACTCGATATACAAAACTCGCATTCCTCGCGATAGTAAAATCATAGTCACAAGCCGATCAGACAAGATTGCGAGGTTAGGAACCACACCACCTCTCAGATTACAGCTTTTATCCAAGGAAGCCTACTGGTACTTCTTCAAGGTGAGAACATTTGGGAGCATGGATGCTTCAGAGCACCCTGAAATGGCATCAATAGCCATGGACATTGCAATAGAAACTGAAGGGTGTTTCATGGGTGCCAATGTCTTCAGTAGATTGCTGAGATCAAATGCCAACAGTCATTACTGGAGCTTGGTTCTTGCAACCCTGAGAGAGTTCAAGAAGAAGAACCAGCATATTTGGTCATTCATGTATGCTGCAGATCAAATTAAAGCTTTGGATCGGGTGAATGAACCAAGTGAAGAAGCAACTGAACTTCTTGTGATTCTTGATAACTATCAAACAATCTGCTCACATGCATCTTCCCACTGTGAAGCTGAAGCTGAAGCTCCCAAGATATCACTGGTAGATGCTCTGTTTGGAAGTGTTAGGCCTCAAGGAAGATTTGATGCACTTGGATGGAAATCACAGATAGCACCTTACTATAGCTACATGTATAGTTGTGAGATACAGAGGCCAAAGTGTTTGGCCGCTAGGAAGAACAAAATGAAGAAGAATGGTGGCTGATCATATTATGAGTTTTATGCACCCTGTTATTGTCACATGTAGGCACTATGTATTCATATTGTAACCCCTAATAGTAATAGGTAGTAGAACCTTTTTTTTTTACAACTAAACGAGATATATAATCCTAGCCTCTAATCTCTCATATATTGTTTCCAGTTTTTGGCTTTTAATATATTTCTCATTTTAAAACTATATATTCTCATAATATGTGAGAATCAATATTATCCGGGGAGCAAGGGCTTGTTCGACTGCAAGGTCCAGCACCGCCTTTGTACTTATAATGTTATTATTATAGTAAAAAAAAGTTCACTTTTAGGAGGAGCTTAGGGAATTTACCTGCATTCCAAACGTAGTGTGTTAGTACTTCTGAAAATAGTGAAGAAAAATATCTTGGAAAAAGTACACCAGATGTCCCTCAACTTGTTATCGGGATACGAAAACGTCCTCGAACCGCAAAACCAGATACCACGGGTCCCTTAACTATACAAAACCGGTCACAATAGGTCTCTCGGCGGTTTTGATCCCGGTTTTGTCCTACGTGGCTGCTGAGTCGGCGTGGGATCCACGTGAGCCCCACATGTCATCGTGCCATGTCAGCCTACCCTCTCTTTCCCCCTCTTCTCGTCTCTCTCACTCTCTTCTCTCAGGGCGGCGGGAAAGGAGCGGAGGCCACGCCGGTGCCGCACGGCCTCTCGCGGCCGTCCTCCCACGCCGCCAGTGCCGCCGGGGAAGGATCTGAGCGCGGCCGTCGGGGACGGAGCAGGGCGCGGCTGTCGGGGGTGGAGCAGTGCACGGCCGGTGGGGTGGAGCTTGGCGCGTGCGGCAGCCACCGGGGAAGGAGCTGGGTGGCGGCGGCGGCGGGGGAGGGTAGGCGCGGGAGGCCGTCGCCGCGGTTCTCGCCCTCTCCCCTCCCCCACCGTCTCGGGGTCGAAGAGGCCCGAGAGGCGGGAGAAAGAGGAGGACGTCGGCGTCGGCGGGGGCAGCGTCGTTGGAGAAGGGGAGGGCGTCGCCGCGCGGGCGAGCTCGAGGGCGTCGATGGCGATGTCGTGGCCGTGGTTGAGCTTGACGGTGCGGAGCAGGGCACGGTTGTCGGGGGCAAAGCAATGCGCGCCAGGTGGGGTGGAGCTTGGTGCGGGCTGGGAGCCGCCGTGGGAGGAGCTGGGCGGCGGCGGCGGGGGAGGGTGGGTGCGGAAGGCCTTCCTGCTGGTCCTGCTGGGTCTCCGGCACACCCGCCGCTTCGCGCCGTCGGCGCTGGTCCTGCCTCGCCCCACCGGCCTCCTCACATACACTCGCCTCCCCGCCGCCGTCGCGGCGCCAGAGGACGGGTCCGCGCTAGCCGTGGCGAACTGGGCAGAGACGGCGCGGCCGGCGACGACGACGATGCCGTCGCGGCCCGCCTCGCGGACCGCGCGGCGGGCGGCGGCTCAGGACCGCGCCCCACCGGCCTTGCCCAACGGCCTCCTCCCCTCCTGTCGGCTAGCCTACGCCGCCCTCGCCGGTGACCTCCGCTCCTTCCCCCGCCACCCTGAGCGAAGAGAGAGTGAGAGAAATGAGAAGAGGGGAAAAGAGAGGGTAGGCTGACATGGCACAATGACATGTGGGGCCCACGTGGGTCCCACGCTGACTCGGCGGCCACATAGGACAAAACTGGGATCAAAACCGTCGAGGGACCTATCGTGACCGGTTTTGTATAGTTAAGGGACCCGCGGTATCTGGTTTTACGGTTCGAGGACGTTTTTTATCCCGATGACAAGTTGAGGGACCTTCGGTGTACTTTTTCCAAATATCTTTGGTATCGCTTTCATGGCCCAATATAGAGAGGTAAGGGGAAGCGGCCCAAGGCTTTCTTTTCAAGGATCTGGTATCTGTAGTCTTAGGGCCCAAACAAATTAGGCCCATTTCGGGCAAGAATAGATCAGTACACACTCACACGATCAAATCAAGCGCAACAGAACGATCGATGTCTACGTTTGCCTCGCTTGTTAGCTTGTTGCATGTATATATATCATAAAAAAAACGTAATGATTAATCAGCAGCAGCTAGCTAATACTTTGTCATAAAGGAAATAGGTTGTTGCTTGTATATATCTCATTCTCATCGTCGTCCTTCGCCACCTGGGTAGTTAGCATAACTAATTATAGTTGTAACTTGTAAGTAGGGCTATATCCTTTGCCCATACTTAAATCTATACCTACGCTGCTTGGGAAATTAAGGTTTATAGATATGGAGGAGTTACATATTTAAGTTTTAATATGAGACTGGTAACATCTATTTTACCTATTTTGTCAGTAGGGGTAGTGGATCGAACATGGATGCCGGGGAGCTCAAGCCCCTCCCACCCTGCTTTTTTGTGGAGAAAAGCATAAGTATATTACTTAACTAAAGAGTCCTCACCAACAAGTTGTAAGATGAAATTACAATTGCTTTCTATAGCCAGAACTTCGTAAGGGGCTCCATTTGAGCCTTATTAGCTACTAGAACATGACTCACATGGTTTTGGCACCTTCGGATTTTCTGCGTTACAACCACACGATCTCCAGTAATAAGCCCCTCCTACCCTGTTAGATCATCGTCATAGAGAGGACATAAGGAAGGAAAGAATAACAAGGAGTTGTAGGAGAAAGAAGAAAATAAGCCCCCTCCTCATCAAATTTGGATCTGTCCTTGTTCGTTGTTGGACATACATGTTAGTGCACCTACCTTCATCTCAAATGTAACAACTTTGTGGCTATGTACATAGATACAAGAAATTATAATATTGTGGGACGGAGAGGACTATATATATTAGCTATGTGTAATATGGTGGCTAATCTCAGCACCATGCATCATGCATGCAACTTAACTTACATGAATTGCAGATTCATGCATGCATGCATGCGAGTTGAGCCATATATATACATTGTATATCTAAGAAAAATATATACAAGTCGTGTACGTGTCAATTTCCATGCTACCTCGAGCTAAAAAGAAATGAATTATATTTCAGCTATGTGTGTCTATTTAGCTAGCTAACTAGCTCAATCAAATTAGTTGGAGCTATGCTAGCGATCAATTAATTTGTGAGTACGTACATGCATGCATGATCTGTACCAAACGATCTATGTACATATATGTAATAGTACTATCAATCGTGGAGGGACAAGCTAGCTAAGATGGAAGTTGGACCAGTCAAACCTCAATTAGGACAGTCTCAATCGATGCCAATATACGTACTGATTCTGCCTGACTGAGAACCAAAATTCAGTTGGTGCTAGTGAGATGGTCCAACACATGCGTATACTACCTCCATTTTATAATATAGCAATATAATATAGGACGTGATATATTTGTACTCGATCGGTTGCTATATTATGAAACAGAGGGGTATGTCATCACTCATTTGTTGATTAGATCAAATTTTACCCATCTCGATCGGTAACCCATGAATTCGTACTGGTTTTTCTATTATCTATTTAATTGTATTGGTAATTATACGATTCATCTAACAAATAATTAATGAAAAAAAATCATGCATTTTAGTTAGCACGAGAGATTCTTCATAGTCGCAACTAAATATAGTTTTTTTTTATGGAAACAGCATATGATGGTTATAGTGTATATATTACGGGTACGGACAAACAGCACAAATAGATTAATTATTAGTTAGGGACCTGATATGATCGTAAGCTTTAGTACTACGTGTACATGTGCGTGTGTATCATAGTTTGTCCAAATTAGCATGCTCACAATCATCCTCTAGTCTAGCTTTGGATCATACTTCATATATCATTGACTGCTAATGCGGCCATGCCTGATATAATTAATCATTCATGAGCTAAAATATTAATCCCAAGGGAAGAACTGGGCCTACATGTCGTGGATCATATATATGATTACTACGTTAGCTTAATTAGAAGGGATAGGCAAACACATCTTATTAGCTTAATTATGTGAATTACGCTAGCTGCGCTAAATATTGATATGATGGCTAATTAATCATTGGTACTGATCATGACCGACTTGACGCTGAAATTAGTTAAGCTTATAATTAGCTTTCTAGGGCCTGGGGAAAATGATTATCTTTTGGCACAACACGTACGTTCCCTCCCTAGTTTGTCTCTCACTCTTTTTTTTGATCAAACAAGCATATATAAGTTATTTTAGGCATGCGTAAAGTGAGGTAAATTTTGCTATAGGATGATCAAATTAAGTTTATGTAATTTGCTAGTAGACGTTGTAAAAAAGTGTCGCGGATAAAGGACACCTAAAAAAGATAATTTGTTACAGGTCATTTTCAACCTAATTGGATAAGAATTTGTTTAAAAGACAAAAATATCCCTAAGACCAAAGATGTCTTCTAACTTAGTATTAGAGTGAAGATGAAATATAATGCATGCAAGTAACATATTTGGGATAGTGATGGAAGATTTAGAGTTGCATAATTTTTAAATTCTTATTCCAACACTATGTTAGAAGCATGTGGTCGCCCAGAGACATTCGATTCTCATCTATTTGAAAATTTTCTCACTCTACTTGGACTAAAAGTATATCCTCCAATAAATTATCAATTTTTTTATTAACAAAATGAGAGGGGAAGAGGGAAAGGTGGCGGATTTCATCCGGTGAATTTTTAAGGCAGTTTCCAAGGAAAAAGAAGAGACATAAACTAAGGCAAGACATGGAGTGACATCCAATTAATCGGGCCAATGAGGGGGAAAGCCAATAGGGACCATGCAACAGGCACGCTCGCGTCCCCACTCCCATGCCGTACTCATCCTGGTTCATCACAAATTTCTCCCTCGCAAGCATCGCTGATGATGCAGATGTGTTTTGGTTTTTTTTTTCCATCACAGTAGAAGCATGCGTGATGTGGGCTGGGCTAAAAAGTCCAACGGGAGCTGAGCCAATACCGGCCCAACTTAGCGATATCGTTGATCTGAGGATTCGTAGAACAATCCAACGGCTCATAATAAACAATGATGTGGCACAACATGGTGTAAACTTTATAGCAATAAATGATATAGTGGGTACCAACTATATAAGCAAGAAAAGAGATATATATATATATATATATATATAGAGAGAGAGAGAGAGGTCGTCCATAAGGTTTCATGATGACCCTTTCATAAATTTTCATGGCTACTTAAGAAAAATAATCACCGCTACGAAAATCATTCTTTTATGGTCCGATGTTAGAAATTAAACCTACGTGTCAGGAAAAGCCATCTTTAATTTATAATGATTTGAGAAAGCAAAATATAGGTAGAACCTTTTTTATGGCCCGCTGGTAGAAATGAAACTATGTAGTTCTATGAAAGGAAAAAGTTTATTTTTACTCTTCCGAACTATTCCACCAAATCACTTAAGCCCCTAAACTATTTATCGGTATTGAAAACGGTTCAGTTAACTCCCATAACACTATTTCTCTTTTTTTTTGTTTCACTCTGTACAAATCATATTTTGCACTGAAAATTCGGTAGAATGCATATGCATTCGGAACTTATGTCTGAACATCTTTGTAAATTTGTCTAACTATTTATGTAGTTCGAAAGCACTTAAGGTTAATTTAAATATTAAAATTTCAAAGTTGAAGCAAACAACCAAGAAAATTTTGAAAATAATTTTGAACTTTAATAATGATGTCATCTATAGCTCTAAAAAATAAACTTAAAATACAACGTATATGAAGAGCAAGAAAAGAGAAACATTATTAATATGTAAAGTAAACCATATTTAATAGTTTAAGGGTAAACTGAGAAAAAAATAGTTCAAGTGTGATTAAGTGATCATTTAAATAGTGTAGTGGAGTAAAATGGATTTTCTTTTTCATCATGAAAAGTTGTCTTTATAATGATTTGAGAAAGCAGCAAAATAATGATGTAGGGCAGGCCGATCCCGTCGTGTCGTGTATACGTATACTAGTATGTTTGATGGAGCGTCTTTTCATTGATCGTATCCTCCGTCCTACAAAAAGACAAACTATGGGTTTCTCCAATGTTTGACTGTCCGTCTTATATGAAATCCTTTTATAATTAGTATTTTTATTGTTGGTAGATGATAAAACATGATTAATATTTTATGTATGACTTGTCTTTTTAAATTTTTTTTATAATTTTTCCAAACAAGACAGACGATCAAACGCTGGACACGGAAATCTAGGTGTGTCTTTTTTTTTAACGGAGGGAGTATACACGTTATGTCCTGCTCCATCATATTCCTGCAATTAATAAATGATATAACACACCATTTTGCATTGCATCAGAGCAGGTTCAATAGGGGTAGAAAAGCCGGCGATAAACAAGCCACGTAAGTTCTGTTGATGACTTGGCCGGGAGCGCAGATGAGAGAGAGTACAGGCCGGCGACTAAATAGTCGCCCGCCGATATGCGTACTCCAAGAAAAAAGTGCGTCCGTTTTGCGCGGGAGAGGAGATGCTTGGCGCAACGCAATTAAATATCATTTGCTACAGTAAAAGGAGGATAAATACATAGCTAACCCTATTGTATATATTAGTATGTATGTTGGCTACAGATGACATGGAAAGAAATTGCAGCTAACAGCGGGTGATATTATTAAACTTGCTCTCACATTGACTAGTACCAGTACCCGTACTACACTCGATCCATCATCTCGATCAATCACTAGTACGCCTTTAATCATCGTCATCAACACTACTAATCATTAACTCCATCGATATCGATCGTTTCAATTTCTCGACCAATCCATCCATCCATATCCATCATCTCTCTACTGCTCTCCGAGAGAGAGAGATTTAATTTTATGGCGCCAAATGCGCCGGATCTACGCTACGCGTGTCCGTACGTCGACGGCGACGTACGGCGGCCAAATCGACGGCGGCCGCCGCCGCCACGTACGCCGCCGCAAGTGGCTCTCGTCGTCGCGTTCCCGACCGTTGATACTCCGGTGGGCCCCACCGCTGTCGCCGCGCAGCCAAAGCCGCCGCTCTCTCTCTCTCGCGGGCCCACCACTACCCCCTTGTGGGCCCCACCCGGACTCACTCCATCAAGTCATCCGGGCCGTCCGCTGCTGATCGGACGGACGAGATCTTCCGGAAGAAGGGGACAGAGAGAGCGGGGTAATTTGCTGCGGCCACCCGATCGAATGCTGACGTGTGCACACTACACCTGCAGGTGTGATCAACAGAAAAATGGCGAACCACCATGTGTAGTATAAATAAATCCGATAATTTTGTCGATCGATCGATCGATATTAGATAGGTTTGTTGTCATGGTCGATGCACAGTTCTCTTCTTCCCCATGATCGATCGACCTACAGGAGGAAATTAGCAGCCGATTGACCGAATGTCTTGTTTCGCTTTAGCTGCCGGTCCTCGTCGTCGTCCTCATCGTTGCTTTTTTAATTGTTCCTCTTAATTATTATCCGTTCCTATTTGATGGGCAACGGTAACATTAAAAGTATCGATGTGTTTTCTTTCTCTACGAGCGATGAGGATATGCTCGGATATAATATAGAATTATAGGGAGTGAGACCTGCTTGATTAGAATATTAACCGACCAAATGACGATGTAGTACCTATATATATTGTTATGTTGGACTAGCTTCGTTAGTCCATATATAGTTGCAATTTTGTACTCAATATATTTAAGATAGTCAAATAAAAATCTCAGCCTCTACATCATGTGATGCATATAGCTGTGTAATTTTGCTTCTATGTGGTGAGGTTATATTCAGTCGGATAATTTGGATCATCGAGAGTTTCTAATTATTATGATACTCTCTTTTTCTTTATTTTGAAATGTTTCTAATATTGTGTCAAAGATAGTTCCTAACTCCCATAACCTTAAGAGTTTTCTATTTGACATTTACAACATGGGTAATTATTTAGCATAGGCCAAATATTTGAACCATTTTTTAATTATTATTCCAAAAAAGATAACTCAGACCAAATGTTTGTTTTGCGTTAGCTACCGATCGCCGCTGCAACGTCTTGTTGCTTTTTAAAGCATTCGTCTTAATTATTATATTTTCCTATTTGATTGGCAACGACAATATTAAAAGTAGCGATGTGTTTTCTTTCTCCACGAGCGACAAGACTACGTTTAGATATAACAGCCGATTATAGAGAATGAGACTAACCAACCAAATAATTTAGTCATTGTATGCACTGTTGTGTTTGACTGACTTCATTAGCCGTCGGTTTTAATTTTGTACTCATGTGGTGAGTTTATATTTAGTTGGATATATAGTATTACGACATAGAGGATAACCGAGAGTCTCTTATTATTGTGATATATACATTTTTCTTTTGTATTCCTATTGTTTTGAAAGGTTTTCTGGCTCTAATTGAAAAGTTCTTTTTATTGGGCTTTTAGAACATGTGTCTATTGGAAGATGTGAAACATTTTCATTTTTAAGGAAAAAGATTATCCAAAATACTGGCTACAAAATTTCAACATGTCATATACTCCTATATTTCTAGAAAAAAAGATAACTTATGTGAGAATGATTAGAGGAGGTCATTCAATATAATTAAGATAGAAAAAGAAAATAACTTCTCCTAAATCCCCCCGAGTATGATAATAGAAAAGAGATAATTTCCAAACAACTAATTAATTACCCTAATAATCATGACAAGATCGGACAGCAGCAAACAAAGATCTATCGAATCTTACATTATCTAGCTCTCTCTTACTCCTCCAATCTGATGAGCCAAAAATGATAGTACTCCAACAACACTAATCATTGTTAAATCACACAAATAATTAGCAAGTCGATCCAGTTTTAGCATGGAGCAGCAGAAGGGGCAGTTTAACTTGGGGTGTGGGCCCCACCCGGAGCACACAGAGAGAGAGGTGTACAGATGGCGGGAAAGTGGGGACGTGGCCCCCATCCTATCACTCCCCCACTCCTCCACTCGCGCCACTACCTCCATCTCCATCGATCGCGCGCGCCTTCTCCTCTCCCGCCACTCCATCGCCGCTATAAATTGCAACGCACCGCTCGATCGATCAAGAAGAAGAAGGGGATTTGATTGATTGATTGATCGGAGCAAGGATGGCGGTGGCTTGTTTGCCGGAGGACGGCGGCGAGGTGGTCCTGGTGCGGGAGTTCGACGGCGGCCGCGACCGTCCCGGCGTCGAACTGGTTGAGCGCGCCTGCGAGGTGGGTCCGAGCGGCGGCAAGCTCTGCCTCTTCACCGACCTCCTCGGCGACCCGCTCTGCCGCGTCCGCCACTCGCCGGCCTACCTCATGCTCGTACGTCTCGTCGGGGGGCGTTGCTTGTCCGCCATTGTTGATCGCGAGACCTCACACTGGTGCTGGATCGGGTATTGGAATGTGGTTTTCAGGTCGCGGAGGCTGTGGGTGGCCCGCTCGGCACGGAGATCGTCGGCGTCGTGCGCGGCTGCGTCAAGACCGTGGCGTGCGGGCGCAGCCAGCTCTTCTCCAAGGTGGCGTACCTGCTCGGCCTCCGGGTCTCGCCGCGCCACCGGCGGCGAGGGATCGGGAGGAGGCTGGTGGAGAGGATGGAGGAGTGGTTCCGGGAGATGGGCGCCGAGTACGCCTACGTCGCCACCGACCGCGACAACGAGCCCTCGGTGCGCCTCTTCACCGGCGCCTGCGGCTACGCCAAGTTCCGCACGCCGTCGGTGCTCGTGCACCCGGTGTTCGGCCACGACCTCGCGCCGTCGCGGCGCGCCGCCGTCGTCCGCCTCGACGCGCGCGAGGCCGAGCTGCTGTACCGCCGCCGCCTCGGCTCCGTGGAGTTCTTCCCGCGGGACATCGACGCCGTGCTCTCCAACGCCCTGTCGCTCGGCACGTTCCTGGCCGTGCCGCGCGGGACGCGGTGGCGCGGCGTGGAGGGGTTCCTGGCCTCGCCGCCGGCGTCGTGGGCGGTGGCCAGCCTGTGGAACTGCAAAGACGCGTTCCGCCTCGAGGTGCGCGGCGCGCCGCGGCTGTGGCGCGCGGCCGCCCGCGCGACGCGCGCCGCCGACCGCGCCGCGCCGTGGCTGGGCATCCCGTCCATCCCGAACCTGTTCGAGCCGTTCGGCCTCCACTTCGTCTACGGCCTCGGCGGCGGCGGCCCCGCGGCGGCGCGCATGGCGCGGGCGCTGTTCCGGCACGCCCACAACGTGGCGCGGCGCGGCGGGGCGCGCGTGGTGGCCACCGAGGTGGGCGCGTGCGAGCCGCTCCGCGCCGGCGTGCCGCACTGGCCGCGCCTCGGCGCCGACGACCTCTGGTGCATCAAGCGGCTGGCCGACGGCTACGGCGACGGCGCGCTCGGCGACTGGAGCAAGGCGCCGCCGGGAACCTCCATCTTCGTAGACCCAAGGGAGTTTTAGCTTTGATGCTAATTCTACCGTAGATCACGCATCCGACGGCCCAGGGTTGTCGAGGGGAGCCTTGTGTAATTTCGCTGTTTTTTTGTGAGGGTGTAATTAATGATGTGTTCATACTTACATCAGTGGAATATACCAATGGACTTTTATAAATATATGTTTGGCTTAATTATTTGTGTTAATGGTGTGATCTTGGTTGTCTTTGCATGCTTTAGTGAAATGTTCCTCTGTTTTTTTTCCTCCTTTTGTGTAAACGAAGTTCTAGTGGAAATGGAATGTTCCAAGCTAATTTTAAAATCTTGCAGCTGTTTGTTTTACATGCATGTAGCAAAACAGTGTCAAGAGTTTTAGTAGGGCCATCAGAGCAACAGGTGTGTTGTACTTGTGCAACTGCACAATCATCTGAGACATGAAATAGAATCTTGACCATCAGCATGTTGCAGGTGGTGTGTGTTATGATTTGCACAATTAAACCACATGTTTGTGCACAGTAATATGCATTTAATAAGGAGGTGAGCTATGCCATTCTACTTGGAGTTTCCAATAGTGCCAAAACTGCGACAACTGATCAATTAATCGTGCACCAAAAAATATATATATATATCGGATTTTATGTTACAGCTATTTGATTTTCTCAAAGAACTATATTAAATTTTGGGGCATTGAATTTGTGTTATCGAATGGTTCAAGCCCGCCACTCCATCCCTATACAATTCTAGCCATTCCCTCTCCTACTTCTAGCCACGACCACCTATATATATCCTCTCCTAGAAACCACTCGAACATTTTCGACAAAATTACTATTGGTGTTGGCCCTCTCATTGCGGACAAACATGCATCTTCCATTTACTAGCTCCCTTTCGTCATCTTATTTAGCAATGTCTAGCTGTTGGCACCATTAGGTGTCGCTTCAAAACCACTCATTCTTATAGATCTTGTAGAGCCTACCAACTATTAGCTTCCTCGTCGATAGCTTCAATAGTGCCATTATCATACAATCTCACTATATATCAATCTGCACCTATGTATGATCCCTAACTCTTGCTCTTCATTTTGAACCCTAAGGCACCGATGTTTGGCATTACGTCATCTCCACTAGAGGTGAAGGTAGGAAGGAAGGAAAACGAACCCTTACACATTTATGTTAAGAGGTTAGGAATGATCATTTTCTCACCAAATAGTTTGGTTGGTGGAAATCCATGAAAACAACGAGCTTCCCATATAAGTTAATTGACATATACTCCCTCTGTCCAAAAAAAAATCTAGGACTGAATGCGACATATTATAGTTCAACGAATTTGGACAGAGGTATGTCTAGATTCGTAGTATTAAAATATGTCACATCCAGTATTAGGTTGGTTTTTTTATGGGACAGAGGGAGTATATATTAACAATCATATGCAATTTATTTATTATTCTTATCACCGGGAATATCATTAAATCGTACTAGTATATAGTGACGGTAATGAATAGGGCACTGAAAAGTCAAAAACAAACTACGGCGATGGACATAGTGTGCCGCTATCATAGTTACCGCTAATTATGAAGTCTCTTTCAGCATCTCAAATTGGGGATTTTTATTTATTGTGTTCATGGTGCCCTTCAACTTCCATTTCAACATCTTGATCGAGAGACCTGCTGGGCCATGCCATGGCGTCGACCAGTTAATTAACTTTATCGTCGAGCTAGCCACTCGCAATCGAGATATATGGATGCAATACATTGCAATGCATGGACGATGGATTTATTTGTATTGATTGATTGATCGGTAACGGCAATTAAGTGACAAGTTAATTAGGGCTTGATGGGGGGTAGATTGATGGATTAGTTTCTAGTATATATATACATCTTGATTTGTTTTTAATTAGGTTGAGTGCCTCCATCAAATGGGGGTTGTGTGTATCCTACGATGATTGAGATACTTTTAGGTAAGAATTAAATTAAAAGATGATCAGTTACATTCCATGTCTTTGTATTTAGAATGTACAAAAAACTTTAAGTTGATACAAAATAGCTTCAATGAGGAAAACGACTTGAACTCTCTCCGTATATATAAGACAAATAAACAAAAAGCACGCACTAAGTAAAAGTATATTAAGCATATGAAACTTATTAATAATTAGCAACTAGCGGATTTAAAATGGATCGATGAAGATCGAACAAGCCGTTAATTAATCAATGATCGATCGACTTGGATAAATTGAACACAAGTTGTAATTTGGTTTTACTCATGTAATGGATCAGATTAATTAATTAGTGGGCAACAATGCAAAGCTAATAAGCGTGCGCCATGAGAGAGACACTCGAATTTGGCCAATTGCAGCCGTCGTGTCAGCCTCAAGCATGGGGGCCCTTGCAATCTGTTGCAGCAAAAGTCCCGGGAAAACGAAAGCTAAACACACACTCCTCCAAAACCAAATAATTTAAACTATTAGAGCAGGTACAATAGCAGGCTATAAGCCAGCTGCAAACATATTTTAAGAAGATAAATCAGGAGAGAAAAGAGCAGCGGGCTACAGATTTATAGCCAGCTGTAGCACGGACTCCAAGACGCAGTGTGTCTATGACATGTGGGACTAGGTATTAATAGTGTAGTATATAACTATTGTATGAATGAGCTATTAGATTGGCTATAGATGAATTGGAGCTAGTAGTTGGCTATAGTATTGAACTTGCTCTTATTAGTCAGCTATATATGTAGTAGTTGCCCATGAACTTGCATTATATTGTTGATGCTCAAGTGTATCCGTATGTATATATATCTCCATCGTTAATTATCTCTTTCTCTTTCATGTTAATAGTATTACCCAAGGAGGGAATATAATCCATCTCGACAATAGTTTTAATCTGTTTATTATCTCGATCTTTACTTTAATTAGGATAGAATAATTAAGTAAGAAGAAAGCAATTAGTAATATATATGGCTTTCAAGTCGGACGGTAGCTGTCTGCCATGCCGACACATTGTCTTTGACACTGTGGAAGAGAAAGAAAGAGATGAAGCTAGATAGATCGATTTGTACGTGTTTAACTTGAAGATATTGACCTAGCTAACCGACTAGCTACTTGATGGACACACTCAATCATGGTGTTTGCATAGGCATCAAAGGTCCACATCCATCTTGTTAATGGAGAGATCGAATGCATCACACAAGTAGTGAAATTCCCTTAGCTATTAATAATTGACATCCTAAATAATGGAGTAAAAAGATGCATGGCTGGCGCAAAGCGACTAGTTTCTATCTTGATAAATTTTACGGTTCTTTATTGAGAAACCTAAATTTTACAACCTCGAGTTACCTAGTATCCAAAAGCACTAAATTTTACGCTAGAAAATATGATACATCTTGATACTTTTTTAAAGAATGGTAAAGTCACCTTTCTATATATCTTAGTCCTTTGGCAAATATTACAGTGTAACCATGTTTTTTCTATTTACACCTGTAAATGTCTTTTTCTTTTCCTACTATATTTAATGAAATAGACATGCCGATATCGGTTCATTCAAAAATAAATAATGGAGTAAAAATATCTCAAACTCTGCATCATGCCATGAACATAGTCATATCTTATTACTTAATATTTATTTTACTACAAAATACTATCTTCAAAATTAACTCAGGGAGATTAATTCCCCTATATATGCACATGTAGCTTGAAATGAAGGAATTCAAGAGAAAAAATGGTTAACATCTGGACTGATATGGGAGAATTGTAAAATGCCCAGAAAAATCCTACTATGTTGGATAGGTATATTTTTTTTAGATGTATTATTGAGGTATATATTATGTGCTTTTTACTTGGCATGGAGAAGTGAAATCCTAGGAATATATAGTCTAAGCTTTGTGCTAGTCCTAAAATATGGAATCTAGCTTATTTAGACTTATATTTCGGATGCTCAAAGAAGAAGATGAGATCCTTAGCATGATGTTCTGATCTCAATAATAATCTCATCTGTCCCCAAGGCATAAAATCTTTACTAGGCTAGAAAAGAACTGAAAAAGAGTGATTTTATGCGCATCCTGTAAAGACATTAGCATGCTGCTCTTTTCTGCATATGGTTGCTGACTTGCTGCCGTATATATTCTCTCTTTCTGAACTGGCACCCACCCATTGTTTGTCTGATCCTGAGATGAGTTTCTTATCTGAATTCCGAACTGAACAATCTGATCAGTAGCAAAAGCCACACGACTCAACACCAGCATCTTAATCTTCTTCTTCTTCTTCCACAAAAGAGAGAAAAGGATTGATTGATATATGGCGGCCAATAGTGGCAAGGGTAGTAAGGTCGTTTTAGCTCCCTGGACATGATGATTGCAGAAGTTGCATCAGCAGTGCTTATTCGTTAATCTACTGTTTTGTTTTCCCTTATCAGTGGTAGTACTGTGTGTCCTTTCTCTCTCCCTCTTTCTGTATTCAGATGGCTCAACAGTTTCAGAGGAATTTGAGAAACTGATGTTTGACAGTACTTTGACTCCTCACGGTTTCACCATATGCATTATGTATACATGGGTATCAATCATATATTTGTTCTTTTTTCCGGAAGTGCATGCATATATAGTCTGCATAGTTATAGTTGCGCAGCAATTTTCATGTAAATACTTTCTATACAAGTTATTAGAAAACTGAATACTATGGTTATGTCCCTATCTTACAGAGGTTAGATATGTAACTCATTTCCATTATCTTAAAAAAATATATTTTTTAAACTAGGAGAGCATTGCTCCCCATTTCCAGTGATAGAAATGAAGAGTATTATAGTCTCATCAGTTCAGACAAAACCAAAAAAAAAAAGAAAGCAACACATGCCTTCTCCCCCTCACCAGGTGGCAGGCGCCATATAAAAAATAAATATTAATTTTCATTTAATTAGTCTACCTATGAATTGCTATGAAACAACAAAACATGTCCCATACAATCTAATATAATCTAATATTATTGTTGTGCGTCGTGTGGATAGGGAAAGGTAGCGGATACATATAAAACTCCCTCTTTTAAGGTAATAGAGAAAAAGAGAGAAAAATAAAAAGGCCACCTATATATGTGGCCATATGTCTGCGACAACAGGTTTGTCCACTCACTAAGTAGACTCTGATCGCGATGTTTAAGTTATAGATTTGAGCGTCTTTACAGTCCAGCAGGTTGTACCGGTCGGTACTGGTACTGCTCGGTACCAAAACACA